TATCTGTTTCTCACTAACGTCCTGCCTCTCTATTGTTCACTTGCTATCTTTCTCTATCCTCTTCTCTTCACTTCCCCCATTCCACACTGTCCTATTCTCATTAAGTAACTTCACTGCTTTTACGTCCTCCAATTTTTTGCACTCTATCATAGAGTGTGGATAGTCGATATATATTGAGTGGATACATACAATATCTTTCTTTCATAGCCTGGCTTACTTCGCTCAGCAATAGATCCTCCATATCTGCCCACTTTCTATCAAATTCCAGGGTCTTGTTATTTTTTATGACTGAGTAGTATTCCATAGAGTATCCTCTCAGGATCTTGAGCATGCACACACACGCGCCCAGCGTGAGTTTAAGCCACCAGGTCCGGGACTCAAACAGCGGTCGACTACATGCGAGTCCAGCGGCATAGCCATTACTCCAACTGCTGGTCCCGTGTCCTTTTTTACTTAATGTAGAAAGATCACCCTAGCTGCTTGAAAAAGCACAGCCAGTCTTGTACTTCTGTTTACCTTCGGCTATGCCCCTGAATGGGAGCAGCTCACCAACTTCTGGAAGTTGTGTATGGGAGGGGAAGAACGGGAATCCAGGAAAGATTACAAAATGAACAGCGATGAGGAGAGGAGGGCAGGTGGTTATGGAGAAGAGGATCTGGTCCTCTTCCTCTTCACCTAGTCCATGGTGGTAAGACTCCTTGGGCTTCCCAGCACTCATGGGAGACTAAGCACCATCGAGAAGTGTTGAGTTCCAGGTCAAGGACCCTCCTCTGCCATACCTCCCACAGTGGGAGAGCCTGCTGCTCCAACAGAGGCATTACTGCTGGTAGACAGGAGAGAAAGACCCAGGAAGGACAGCTTTCACATTCTGAAGGAGGCTGTCCCTCCTTTTCCCCACAGTGTGTCAGAACTGCATCGAGCTAAACGCGGCCACCGTATCAGGCTTTGTCTTCGCTGAAATCATTAGCATTTTCTTCCTTGCTGTTGGGGTCTACCTCATTGCCAGACAGGATGAAGCTCACCAATCAAGAGGTAAACGAAATCCTTAGATGAAAAATGGGCTCACCGAAGACCCTTAGCTTTCTTCCCGCTAAAATAGCCCCGATGGAAGGAACTGAGTTGACATGGGTTGCTAAATGTGACATTTGGTGTTATCACAATATATTTACCTGTCCCACGATCTAACTCCCGGATCTGCCCTCTGTGTTTTAAAAAGACTCTGTTTGTTTGTTTTTGAGAGAGATTTTTGCTGTAGGACGTGTATGCTCGCCAGAGAGACAGAAAGCAAGAAATAACCCTCGGGGGTGGGGGGGATGACCACGCCACAATCCCTTGTCCTCCATTCTCCTCTCGGGATTTTGGGCATGCTTGCACACGTGCCTGGCATGAGTTTTAAGCCGTGGAGTCCGGGACTTGAACCACAGTTGACTACATGGGAGTCCAGCAACGTAACCATTATACCATCTGCTGATCCCTAAAGACTCTTTATTAAAGGAAAACATACAAAAAGTGGATCACAGGCATATGGCAAAGAATAATAATAATGACTCTTTATTAAAGGAAAACACACAAAAAGTGAATCACAGGCATATGGCAAAGAATAATAATAATAATAAATTAACAAAGCAAACGCACCCATGCATCCAGCACCCTGTTTAAGGAACACCCTGGAAGCCTCTCTCGTGGTCATTTCTAGCCATGACCCATTTGCAAGAGCAAGCACTGTCCTGACTTCTGACAGGACTCACTCTGCCTGTTGCTGTTCTCTTTCAATGGGTTTCTGTATTTTTGCCTATGGCTTCTTTCACTCAACGATATGCTTGTGAAAGTTACCAAGCTCTTGTGTGTAGAGGACTCATTGCTAGTTAAGATTCTTTTGTGCAAATGTAACTTCATTTATTATCCTGTCTACCTTGTGTTTGTGTGCTCTGTTTGTTTCTTGTGCAGCTTCGGACAAGCAGACTCTACTGCCCAATGAGCAGCTCTACCAGGTAAGAGAATGAGGGACAAAGACGGGGCAGCAGGGGTCGGGTAAAACTTAGGGATTGGAGGACAGGTTCTTTGGAAGATCCTACACAGAGAAGGAACTGCTTACAACATACCAGGTGATTAGGCAGTTACCCCTTTGGGTGGAAATGGATGAAATAAAGAAAAGGGTTGAGAGAGATTGAGGTCAAGATCTAGGGGAGGGAACCAGCAGTTAGCGTAATGGCTATGTCGCTGGACTCCCACGTAGTCGACCGTGGTTCGTGTCCCAGCCCCGGTGGCTTAAAACTCACACCGGGCGCGTGTGCGTGCATGCCCAAGATCTCGAGAGGAGAATGGAGGAGAAGGGATTGCGGCGTGACCATCTCCCCTGGGGGGTGATTTCTCGCTCTCTGTCTCTATGTCTCTCTCTGTCTGTCTGGCAAGCGCACGCGCCCTATAGCAAAAAACCTCTCCAAAACAAACAAACAAAAAGTAGATCTAGGGGAGAAAGAGTGAAAGAACACACCGAGAGGAATATGCAAAGAATCTACAGCTGTCCTTTGGTATCCTCGGGGGACTGGTTCCAGGAACATGCCCTTGTCCCCTGAGGATACTAAAATCAATGGATGCTCAAGTCTCATATATAAAATAGCGTGATATTTGCATATAACCTATGCGTATCTTCCTGTATACTTTGTCATCTCTATAAAATGCCTAATAAATAGCTGTACCATATTTAAAATTTGTACTATTTTTTATTTTTGTATTGTTCATTTTTTAGTGGTTTTTTTTCCTGATTTTTTTTTTAAATCTGTGGTTGGTTGAATCACCAAACGCAGAGTTCAAGGACTGTCAGCTGTGTATACAGAGCCCCATCTGCTCGTCCTCTTTCTGTGAACCCCCTACTCCAAAGCCTCATGTATAAAAAGCAATCAATAACAAAAAGCAATCAATAACTATGCATCGAAGTAATTAATAGAGGATCATAAGTTTAAGATCGTGCTGTCTTTTTTTAGCCTCTCAAGGATCGGGAAAATGACCAGTATAGCCACCTGCCAGGAAACCAAATGAGGAAGAACTGAGCTCAGGACTCAAAGTAGGTGGGCTTTTCACACCAATTCTGAGAGCGCTCCTTTGCAGAACTGACCCTTCCAACTGCTGTCAGGTCTGTCTCCTGCCCCCAAGCAGCTATGAGGATCAGACTCTGTGTGTGTGTGTGTGTGTGTGTCCAGAATCCTGAGGGGAGAGTGGAGGAGAAGGGATTGCAGGATTGCCCCCTCTGAAAGATAATGTCTCACTTTCTGTCTCTAGAGAGAAATTTTTGCTCTAGGGTGCTTGTGCTCACCAGAGAGATACAAAGAGACAGGCAGAAAACGAGAAATCACACCCCCAGGGGAGATGGCCCATGCCATAATCCCTTCTCCTCCATTCTCCTCTGGAGATTTGGGCGGGCACACATGCACACATGCCCAGTGTGATTTTTAAGTCACCAGGTGCAGGACTCAAACTGCAGTCAACTATGTGGGAGTCCAGCTACGTAACCATTACACCATCTGTTCGTCCTGGTTGTACTGTTTCTTTTTTTTCTAAAGAATTATTCTATTTAACTTTATTTATTTATTTATTTATTTGACCAGAGAGGAACAGAGTGAGAAAGAGAGAGGGAAAGTGAAAAAGCAAGCCACTAAGTCCAGGGCTCAAACCATGGTCATCCATGTGGGAGTGTCCAGCACCTTAACCACCACACCACCTGTTGGTCCCCTCTTTTTTTTTAAAAAAAAAAAGAGAGAGATTTTTGTAGGGCGTATGCTCTCACCAGAGAGAGAGAAAGCCAGAAATCACCCCCTGGGGGGATGGCCACACCACAATTCCTTCTCCTCCAGTCTCCTCTCGGGATTTGGGGCATACATGCACACGTGCCCAGCCTGAGTTTTAAGCTGCTGGGTCCAAGACTTGAACTGTGGTTTACCACGTGAGAGTCCAGCGACGTAACTTCTATGTCATCTGCTGGTCCCCCAGTTGTAGTGTTTCTAAAAATACTTGGAGCCAAATTGTCTTGGCTTAAGAAAATACAAACATTGGGCCAGCCACAGAGCCCAGTGGCTAAGGGAGCTGGACACGTCATGGCCGCGGTGGAGAGTCTTTCAGCCCTAAATCTAGATTGAAAAGTCCTAGAGGTAACAAATGGAGAAGAAAAACCATTAGGGCAAATTTAGGTTTTTCTCAAAATGAAAACAAGTACGGTGTTTCAGGAGCGCCACCTGTTGGGAGAAAGTGTAAAAGAAAATGGAAATATTAAATAACCCTCTCTAGTTGAATAATTTTTTACAATTTAATTTTTATTTAGTTTTTATATGTCATAATTCAGATTGTTCCATATGCAATACAAAGTCTCCATTCACCATTATCCACAGCCACCCAGTCGTCCTCTCCAGAGGAAAACTAGTTTATTTTACAATGTATCTTTCTGGAGGTGTTCTAGCATCTCTGAGCAAATTCTCAAGTATGCGTTATTCTCATTATTCTTGCTCCCCCTGTTTTCCACACAAATGATATCACACTATACACAGAACTTCTTCCCTAAAAAAGCCTGATGGTTCTCTCACACCAGCATATAAACGACTCCCTTTTTAAATCTGGCTACCTTGTACAGATATGCTGTACTTTACTTAACCAGGAGTCTATTAGTGGACATTTAAGTTGCTTCCTATCTTTTGCTTCTACAACAATGCTGTAATGACCAATATTGTTGAAATGTAATTTTGGGCCAGCTCCATGGCCTAGCAGTTAAAGGAGAAGGATCCACATGGCTGACCAGTTTACATCCCTGTCCCAGAGGCTTGGGGAATGCACCAGGCATGTGTACACGTGAGCGTCCCCAGGGTTCCAGTGCAGTGGAGAAATGGAGATGGGATTGTGGTGTGAACACGCCCCACTGGAAGGCGCTCTCTCCCTCTCCCTGTCTCTCTCCTTCTCTTGCTCTCTCTCTCTTGTCTCTGTCTCCAGCTAACACATGTGCCCTCTGGCAATTTTTTAAAACATCGCATTGAGGGTGGCCAGTAGATGGTGTAGCAGTTACATCGCTAGACTCCCACATGTCCGAATACAGATCGAGTCCCAGACCTGGTGGCTTGAAACATGCCAGGCACATTTGTGTGCAGGCTCAAGAGTCCAGGATGAGAATGGGGAAGGGATTGCAGCATGGCCATCCCCGCTAGGGGGTGATTTCTCACTTTCCCTCTCATTATCTCTGTCTCTCTCCCTCTCTCTCCCCCCAGCAAGTGCATGTGCCCTAAGGCAAAAACATTTTTAAAAATTACAATGGGGGCCAGCAGGTGGCATGGTAGTTGAGGTCATGGACTTCTCACATGGTTAACCACGGTTCAAATCCCAGACCTGGCGGCTTGCTTTCTCACTCTCCCTCCCTCTGTCTTTCTCTTGGCAAACTCATGTGAAAAAAAAATCATAATAATAATATAAAAATAATTCTTTCAAAAACTTGCACTGAGGGGGGGCAGCAGGTGGCATGGTAGTTGAGGTCGTGGACTTCTCACATGGTTAACCACGGTTCAAATCCCAGACCTGGCGGCTTGCTTGCTCACTCTCCCACCCTCTGTCTTTCTCTTGGCAAACTCATGTGAAAAAAAAAATCATAATAATAATATAAAAATAATTCTTTCAAAAACTTGCACTGAGGGGGGCCAGCAGGTGGCATGGTGGTTGAGATGCTGGACTCCCACGTGGCCAACTCTGATGGCTTGCTTTCTCACTTTCCTTCTCTTTTCTCTCTCTCTCTCTCTGGTCAAATTTAAATAAATGAGTAAATTACATTAAATGATTCTTCTCTAAAAATTGCATTGAGGTATAACTTAAGTGCCATACAATTCATCCATTTTAAGTGATTTAATCCATTCTTAGTAAGTTTTAGTACATTTACTGAGTTGTACAACTATCATTGTAATCCAGTTTAGAATATTTTCATCACTCTCTTAAGATCCCTTGTGCCATTTGCAGTTACTCCTCCCTGTTCCCATCTTCAACCTCAGTAACCACTAATCTCTTTGCTAACTCTTTTATATTTTTTAAATTAATTAATTTTTTTTTTGGAGAGGTTTTTGCTATAGGGTGCGTGCACTCGCCAGAAAGACAGAGAGAGACAGAGAGACAGAAAGCGAGAAATCACCCCCCAGGGGTTATGGCCACACCGCAATCCTTTCTCCTCCATTCTCCTCTTGGGCACGCATGCACACGCACCCAGCATGAGTTTTAATCCACCGGGTCCGGGACTCGAACCGTGGTCGACTACATGGGAGTCCAGCAACATAGCCATTATGCTAACTGCTGGTCCCAACATTTCTTATAAATAGAATCATACAGGCTGGTCAATGATGTGGGCATCACGTGTGCTCAAATACTGAGAGAAGAATGGAGAAGGGATTGCAGTGTGGCCGGCCATCCTCCCCGGGCATGCTTTCTCACATTCCCTTTTGCCTTTTTTCCTGCAAGCTCACATGCCCTATAGCAAAATATATTTTAAATAAATAAATGGAATCATACAATCTGGGGCCCTTTGTATCTAGCTTCTCTCACTTGGTGTGTTTCCAGGGTCTGTCTACTTTTTAAAAACATTATTTAATTATTATTTTTTTAAATCTTGCTATAGGACACAAGCTGTCACCAGAAAGAGAGGGGGGAGGGAGTGAGCTTTCAAGCCGCCAGGTCCATGACTTGGGTCACAGTCAGCCATGTGGGAGTCCAGCGCTTGAACCACCACTCCACCTGCTGGCCCCGGGTTTGTCCATCTTGTAGTATACATCGTTTCTTCTATTGTTGACTGGTATTCCATTGGGTGTATATACCATCTTTTCTTTCTTTTTTTCCCAGTTCTTGCAATAAAGAGAAACAGAAAGAGAAGGAAAGTGAGAAATCACCTGCCGGGGGGATGGCCACCCTGGAATCCCTTCTTGTCCATTCTCCTCTTGAGATTTTGGGCATGCATGCACATGTGCCCAGCGTGTTTTTCAAGCCACCAGGTCTGGGACTTGAATCACACAGTCAGTCATGTGGAAGCCAACCACCTTAACTTCTGCACCACCTGCTGGTCCATCACCTTTTCTTTATCTATTCCCCAGTCAATGAACGTCTGGAGGGTTTTTTTTTTTTTCTTCTTTTTTTTTTTTTCATTTAATTTTTGGGTATTATAAATGATGCTGCTATGAACATTCTCATGCAAGTGTTTGTGTGGACGTGTTTTCATTTTTCTGGGGTAAATGTCAAGGAGCGAAGAATTGTTGGGTCATATGGAAAGTTTATGCTTAACTGTAAAAGAAACGGAACTGTTTACCCAGCTGTAAAAGCTGTAGCATTTAACATTCCCACCAACAAAGTCTGAGGGCTCTTGTCTCTATGCACTCTCACCAACATCTGTCACTGTGTATTTTAGTAGAACCATTCTGGGGGGTGCACAATGGTATGGTAATGTCTGGATTTCCATTTTCCTCATGGCTAATGATGTTGAGTGTCTTCACATGTTTTTTAACCCTTCATATATCGTTAGTAAAATGTTTATTCAAATCTTTAGCCTATTTTTTCAAATAATTTTTCTTTCTTCCATGAATGAAAAAGTGAAATAGACAGAGGGAGAGAAAGAGATGACACCCTTAACTGGATCCCCATACCATGACTCACCCCCAGGCTTCAGACAGACCTGGATCATGGGGATTCACGTGCCCAGTGTACTCAGGGAAGTCTCCAGACTTGAACCAGAAACTTACTCATGTGGGATTCCCTCACAGAGCATTGTCGTGTCTCTTTTGTCGCCGTCCCTCTTTTAAATTTGCTACAGAGCATATGCACTTGCTGGACAGAGTGAGAAGGCACTCCCCATGCTGCAGTCCTTTTTCCTCTTCAGATTTCAGACACACACACACACACACACACACACACACACACACACACAGACGTGCCTGGCATGTTTTTCAGACTACCAGGTCTAGAACTCAAATCATGGAATCAGCCATGTGAGATCCAGTGCCTTAACCTCCACACCACCTGGCTGACCCAGCCCCTTTTTGTTTGTCTCTTTAATATTGAGTTGTAAAACTTCTTTGTGTATTTTAGACACAAGTCTTTTATCAGATACATTATTCGAAAATATCTTCTACGAGTCTATAGTTTTTCTTTTCATTTTTTAAAAAGAATTATTTTACTTTACTTATTTATTTATTTTAATTTGATCAGACAGAGACACAGAGAGAGAGGGAAAGTAAGAAACAAGCTGCCAGGTTCAGGACTCAAACTATAGTCACCCAAGCGGGAGTCCAGTGCCATTAACCACCGTGCAACCTGCCGGCCCCTCTTTTCACTTTCTTAATGATATCTTTCTTTTTTTTTTTTCAGGTAGTTCATTTACCTATTTCTTCCATGAAAGAGAGGACAAAGAAACAGGAGGGTCCCCATTCTGCGAGCCACTTCGTTTCAGCTGGACTAGATCACAGGAACATGTGTGCACACCTGGCGTGCTCAGGAAGGTCCCAGGACATGAGTCCAGGACTCTTCACACGTAGGTCCCGTTGCCTGTTACCCCATGTCTGGCCCCAATGGTGTCTTCCAATGTGCAAATGTTTTTCATTTTGATAGTTTATTTTATTAATTTTTTTCTTTTATATATTGTGCTTTGGCTGTTACATCCAAGAAATCTTTACCAAACCCACAAAGATTTTCTCCTATGCCTTCTCTGTATCGCTTTTAGAATTCTATAGTTTTTGCTCCAACAATAAATGTCATTTTGAACATGTTTAACTATTTGTAACAAATACAAACAAATAGAATTGTTGGGCCACAATGTATTTGCATGTGTAATTTTATTAAAGATTGCCAATCTGCACTTCACAGAGGTTGTGTTAATATATATGGTCAACAACAATAAACAAGCGCCTGCTATTCCGTACATGTCTTAACGGTATATTGTTAAATTCTTAAACCATGCCAGCCTGATAAGTTAACACTAGAATAGCATCACAGTGTGGTTTTAATTTACAGTCTTCGTATTATAAATTGGAGAGAACCACTTGTTTCACCTTCTCATGAAATATTAGCTCACAAGGAGACCGGAGAAGGGATAGTAGCATGGCCATCCCTCCTAGAGGGTGATCTCTCACTTTTCCTCCTTCTCTCTCTGTCACTTTCTGGCAAGTGCACGCACCCTATATCAAAACCTGAAAGAAAAGCTCACGAACTTTGGCCTTTTCTAACTGACTTGCACTAGCCCCTTACACATTTGAGAAACTAGATCTTTCATGATATTAGTTACAAGTAGTTCTCTAATTTTGTTATATGCTTTTTGACTTTGCTTATGGTTGATTTTTCATGCATGTCTTACATATACGTGTATGTAATAGAATTCACCAGTCTTGTAAGATGTCTCAGTTATGTTTTATAGTTAGAAAGGACATCCCATTTGAAGATTATTATTTTTTAATGTATCCGTGAATTCCTCTAGCATTTTTATGGTTTTGTCATACACACTTAAATCTTTGATCCGTCATGAATTCATTTTAACCTAATATATTGATCTTTTTTTTTTTTTCTAGTTTTTGCTATAGGGTGTGTGCACTTGCCAGAGAGAGTGAGCTGTAAAGGGAAATCACCCCCCTGAAGGGATGGATACTCTGCAATCCCTTCTCTTTCATCCTCCTCCCAGGATTTTGGATATGCACACTCACACACCCAGTGTGATTTTCAAATCCCCGGGTCCAAGACTCAAACCATCCAGCTGGCCATGTGAGATCCTGGGTCTTAACCTCCATGCCACCTGCTGGACCCATATTGACCAACTTTTAAGTCAGACAGCTACCCAGTTATTCGAAAAGTATTTACTGAATGATCCATCTTATGCCCATAATTATTTTTTATTAATTTGATGGAGGGCACATGCACTCTCCATGGAGAGACAGGCAGAGAGAGACAAAACACCTCTCCATGGAGATTGGTCACACCACAATCCTTTCATTTTTCCTTTACGTCAGGATTTGGGGCATGAACATACACAGGGTAGTAACCAAGTTGCTAGGTCCAGGACTCTAATTTCAGTCAGCCATCTGAGATCCACCCACTTTAACCATCACACCACCAGCTGGCCCAACTGTCATTATTTTAAATGCTATGTCACCACTTCACTCTCACCAGACTGCAAGCTCCAGGAAGGAACAAACTTTTCCTTCTATTATTATTATCACTATCGGATCTTAAGAAACTAGAACAAGGGTAGGCATGCAAAAATTGCAGTGTTTTTGTGGGGGACAAAATGTACCACTGTAACCATTTTTAAGTGTACTCATCAGTGGCATTAAGTACATTCACAGTGCTGCGTGGCCATCACCACCATCCAACTCCGGAACTTTTTCATCATCCTAAATAGAAACTCGGTATCCTTTAAATAATAACTCACCATTCCCCTCTCTTCTCCTTCCCTGGTAACCTCTATTTTCTTTCTGTATCTGAATTTTCCTATTCTAGGTACCACGTGTTGGTTGGCTTATTTCACTTAGCATTAACATTTTCAAGGTTCCTCCAGGTCATAGCACATATCAGAATTGTATTCCTTTTTAGAGCTGAGTAGTAGTCGATTGTATCTGGGACCAGAAGACGGTGTAATAGCCGATTTTGTCTATACACTGTTTCGTTCGGTTTGTCCATATTGCTTCTGCCTTTTGGCTATCCTGAACAATGTTGCAATGGACACTGGCCTACAAGCATAGGCTCCTGCTTTCAGTTCTTTGGGGCAGCTGTCTCCAAGTGGAATTGCTGGATCACATGGTAACACTGTTTAACTTTTCCAGGAACTGCCATACTGCTTTCCCAAAGTGACTGCACTATTTTACATTCCCGTCAGCAATGCACAATAGTTCCAATTTCTCTGCTTCCTTGCCAACAGTTATTCTTCCTACTCCTTTCCCACCCCTTCCCCCCCCCTTTTTTTTAAATAATAACCATCCTGGTAAGTGTGAAGTGGTATTTCATTATGACTTTGGTTTTCCTTTTCCTAATGACTTGTGATAACGAGCATTGTTTCTTGTGCTTATTGGCCATTTGTACATCTTCACTGGAGAAATGTCTATTCAAGTCCTTTGCTCAGTTTTGAATTGAATTGTTTGGTTCTTTGTTCAGTCTTAAGAGTTCTTATATAATTTGAGTGATAATCTTTTATCAGATATATTATTTGCTTATTTCCTCTATTCTGTCTGTTACTCTTACACAAGCCTTTAACTCGTTTAAAGTATGCTGCTTCTATTACTTTTGTATACTTAAAAAAAAACTCCTAAGAGCTAGCAGGTGGCTTGGAGGTTAAAGTGCTGGATCCAGCATGGCCAACTTCACAGCTGGAGTTCCAAACCCGGGCACATCTGTGTGCATGCCCCAAATCTGAGAGAAGAATGGAGAATGGTTTGCAGCGTGGCTATCTCCCCTGATGGTTATTTCACACTTTCTCTGTCTCTCTCTCTCTCCAGTGAGCCCGTAAGTCCTATGCAAAAATAAAATAAAATAAAATAAAATAAAAACAAAACCTCATAAGATATATATACAGCCTCCACTTTACAGAGTAAAACCGAAATCTAAGATGGCCCACTGGCTGACAATTACGCTCAAAACTTACAGATGTTACTGCTTCATAGACAGTTACCTATGAAGAGTAACAGAAGCGGCTTCAAGGCTAGAGCTGGAAGAGAAAGAAAGAAAACAGAAACGCACAGAGGTCGCGAACAGAGCAAGGAAACACAGTTTATCTGCCGTCCATTCACCGATTCCGACGACCTAGACTCAAAAGCCACTTAGCTCCAAACCGCGGATCATCACAGCCGCACCGCCGCGCTCAGAATACATTCCAGAGCACTTCCGCCCGCCCGCCCCCAGCGCATGCGCCGTGGGGTGTTGGCGCGCCAGTCGCGGGTTCCAGCCCGCACACCCTACTTCCGGCGCGGAGTTGAGATTCCAAAAGCCCCGGTGCTTGGTGATGACGTCAGTTCCTGTTGCCGTGCTGAGTCGGAAGTGGGAACACAGGCCGCTGAGGCTCTTGTCGTTCGGCGCCGCTGGCCTTTCAGGCTCTGGTAAGAGAGGAAATGGGTTGAGGGCCTGGGGTTCGTGGAATCTGCAGTGGCAGGCTCTCTCCTGGTGGGATGCCAGGCCTCTGCATTCTCACCTGCTCCCGCGGTTTCCTGACCAGGGACCTCCTCCTTCGTGAACTTCGATCCTATCCGAATTGGAACACCTTGGAGTGCCTCCGCTTGTGTTGGCTCTCTGTCCATTTCTCCCCCTCTCTTTGTCGTGCCCCATCTGGAAAAGGCCGGCATCCTGCCCTGGCGTCATCTTTCGACTTCCGTTCTCTAGAACGTGAGCTGGGCGGGCGGGTCTCCCTCCTTCCCGCGATTCCCTTATGGAACCTGGAGGGATACCATACAAATAGGCGGTAAGCAGCCAGATGCCAAGAAGATAAGATTAGGCACAAGTCTGGAGTAATGACAGCAGTTGAATGCATATGTTAAGATCGTGACGTGTCTTAGGACTACTGATGGGTTCACTACCCATAATCAGGCATGCTGCTTCCTGTTTTCTTGGGTTGAGAAGGCATTTCTAAAAATAGGTGACCCCAGCTCAAGAGCTTATATTTGGCGGGTCTTCCCTTGTGGTCAGTTTTTCACTCCAAGAGCAAGAATGTGTTGTCTCGCTGTCATTGACTGTTTTGGTCCCACGTGGGAGCCAGCCTGAGATAAAATGGGACCTAAGAAGGAATGCTGTCTGCCTTTGGAGATGAGCTCCTTCTAGCTTGCGGATAGAGGATAGATGTGAAGGGATTTCTTGCCATGTTAGCGTGACCTGAAACTATTAGTGAAAGGTATAACAAGGAAAAGTGTTTGCTCCCTACTTTTTTTCACATATGTATTACTCACCACAACAGAAGCCTTAAAGAGTATGATTTAATAGAGCTTGATGTTAACACTGTCAGTTTTCCCAAGTGTTCCAGATGTTTCTGTTTCAAATTGGTCCTAGTGTGGACCCAGCCCTTGGTGCACACTGCTGAGATGCCTTCCTCCATAGTCTGTAACTACATAGATGGCTTGGGTTTGCTTCCAGGTCCAACCTAAGGGCCTGGTGGTGGTGTGCACCTGTAGTCCCAGCTCAGGGGCTGAGGCAGGAGGATATGTAATGCGACAAGACCCTGTCTTTTTTTCCCTTTTTAAATGGTAGACAGTACATACCCGTGTACTTGACAGTGGGAAAGAAGCAACCTCAACAGGGTCTCATCATGCTAGATCTGCCCTTCCCCAGCCCTCCAGCTCCTCAGGATCTTGAGTGCTCACGTGAGCTCCCAGCATGTTTTCAGGCCAGTCCAGGGATCCAAACCCAAAGTTGCCATATGGCTTCTAGCCTTGCAAGGCACTTGCGTTACTGCTGCACCATGACAACTGAACCAAGACATTACTTTTATTTATTTTTTTTGGAGAGGTTTTAGCTACAGGGCACGTGTGCTCGCCAGAGAGATAGAGAGAAACAGAGAGACAGAAAGCAAGAAATCACCCCCCGGGGGGATGGCCACACTGCAGTCCCTTCTCCTCCATTCTCCTCTCAGGATCTTGGGCATGCACGCACACGTGCCTGACATGAGTTTAAGCCATTGGCCTGGGACTCGAACCATGGTCGACTGCATGGGAGTCCAGTGACAGCCATTACACCAACTGCTGGTCCCAAGACCTTATCTTTAAAAAAAAATAATAATAATAAGGTGTGTTCCTAAGAGCTGACAATGGCCCTTAAAGAATTGGCAGTACTGGGACCAGCAGTTAGCAGAATGGCTATGTTGCTGGACTCCCACGTAGTCGACCACGGTTCGCTTCCCGGACCCAGTGGCTTAAACTCACACCGGGCGAGTGTGCATGTGTGCCCAAGATCCCAAGAGGAGAATGAAGAAGAAAGGATTGTGGCATGGCCATCCCCCCTGAGGGGTAATTTCTCGCTTTCTGTCTCTCTGTCTCTCTCTGTCTGGCGAGCGCACGCGCCCTATAGCAAAAAAACGCTCAAAAATAAAAAAAGAACTAGCAGTACTCTTCAGAAATGAAAGCTTAAAACAGGGTGGAAGAGTTTTGTAGGTCCTGAGGTAGACAGCCATTACAGATTTAGCCCCTGGCTACAGGTATAACAGAATGAAACTTGTTTTTAAGGAAGATACATTCAGAAAAGAATCAAATCCTAAAGCTTCTAAGGATTAGTGGTTGTGCCACAAAAGCTGGCAGTAGGATAGCATTGTCTCCCTGTATGACTGTTGAAATAGGAGATTACAAATTCCCAGTGACCTGTGAGTGGCTACACAACTTTAGCTCTTGCTCTGTGAATGTAGTTTGTGCACAGATTTGAAGTACATTTGGACAAGATGAGCTTCCTGAGGCAGCCAGAAACCTTTTTGTTTTCCACAAACAGTAGAGATGACAATGGAGATTTTTTAAAAATAATTATTTATTTTATTTATTTTGATTATTTTTAATTTGATGAGAGAGAGAGAAAAAAGGGAGGTGAGAAAGCAAGTCACCAGATCCGGGGCTCAAACCATGGGTGGCCATATGGGAGTCCAGCGCCATAACCACCCACCACCTGCTGATCTCAACAGCAGAGATTAATTTCCATTCTATGTATTCTATACATACTGAGATACCAAAGTGCCTATGTCTGCCTGGTTCAGTAACTTGATCTTCTACTGCATCCCAAGACAAGTAACAAAGCCCTTAGTTGAAATAGGATCATGGGTGAGCCACGGAGTTCAGGAATAACCATATGTAACATTGAATCATTTAATAAATATTTAGGAATTTGTAATAGTGATGTGTACATTATGCCTGATAAAGAAGAAAAAGTAATGAGGATGAACCTACACACAAAGAGCTAATAGTCTTAACAAGGTAGAAGATCTGCTTAGGAGTATAAATAGTTTAAAATCCTGGTAAAATACAGATCAAAGAAGCTACCTTCTTTTTATTTTTTTATTTATATATATTTTTCTTTTTTTAATTTGCTACAGGACACGTGCAGTCACCAGAAGGAGAGAAAGTGAGAAAGCAAGCCACTAGGTCCAAGACTTGACTCTTGGCTGCCCATGTGGGAGTCCAACACCTTAACCAACATGCCACCTGCTGCCACCCCTCTTTTTTGCCTTTTTTAAAATTAATTTTATTTTTAATGTATTTTAAGTTTTTTTGTTTTGCTTTGTTTTGTTTCGGAGAGGTTTTTGCTTTAGGATATGTATGCTCACCAGAGCGACAGAAAGCGCGAAATCACTCCCTGGGGGGATGGACACATCACAATCCCTTCTCCTCCATTCTCCTCTCAGGATCTTGGGCATGCATGCACATGTGCCCGGCGGAAGTTTAAGCCACCGGGTCTAGGACTTGAACCATGGTCAGCTACGTGGGAGTGCAGCGACATAGCCATTACGCTAACTGCTGGTCCCAATTTATTTTAAATTTACTGTAAGGCACATGTGCTTATCAGAGCAAGACAGAGAAAGAGAGGGAAAGTGAGAAAGCAAGCCACTGGGTCTGGGACTCGAACCACTGTCAGCCATGTGGGAGCCCTGCGCCTCAACCACCACACTGGCCCTTAGCTTCTTTATATAACATGACAATATAGTATAGAGAAAAGTGGGAATAATGCGTTTATGGTAGTAAATCCTTTATCTTTTTTTTTTTTTTGAGAAGTTTTTTGCTGTAGGGCGCATGCGCTCGCCAGACAGAGAGAGACAGAAAGCCAGAAATCACCCCCCCAGGGGGGATGGCCACGCCACAGTCCCTTCTCCATTCTCCTCTCGGGATCTTGGGCACGCACGCACACGTGCCTGGCCTGAGTTTTAAGCCACCGGGTCCTGGACACGAACTGCAGTCGACTATGTGGGAGTCCAGCGACATAGCCATTACGCTAACTGCTGGTCCCGTAAATCCTTTATCTTGGTAGTCCTAAGAGCCTGTCTGTGCCTTGTGTTCTGTTTCTGACGTTCAGCCTCCTTTCTGCAAATGTGGCACAGGTGGTGCTCTCCCTGGTAATAAACTGGACTCTTTCGGTTTCATAATTCAAACCAGCTTATGCAACTTAGGGGGATCTATTGGCTTTTACTTCATTTTAGTTTTTAGTTTTTGCTATAGGATGCCCATGCTCACCAGATAGAGAGGGGAAATAAGAAATCACCCCACACACACAATGCACTGAAGATGAGATGGCCACGCTGTTGTCCCTTCTCTTTCATTCTGCTCTTGGGATTATGGGCATGCACATACATGTGCCCTGCGTGCTGGCCCCTAGACTAATATCTCATCAGTTAGCAAGCTATAGGATGCCCATGCTCACCAGATAGAGAGGGGAAGTAAGAAATCGCCCACACACACAATGCACTGAAGATGAGATGGCCACGCTGTTGTCCCTTCTCTTTCATTCTGCTCTTGGGATTATGGGCATGCACATACATGTGCCCTGCGTGCTGGCCCCTAGACTAATATCTCATCAGTTAGCAACCCAAGGAGAAGAAAATAGTTCCCTTTTCTTTCCCTTCAGCCAGAGGCCTGAAGCTGGTGTTTGTTGGCTCCTGATTGTCCTTGACAGTCTTATACCCACTCCTGGGTCAGTCAGTTTGGTTAGACTCAAATGCCCTTACTGGAGCTAGTAGATGAGGTCAGCCCCTTTTCAACACATGGACTGAGTGGAATAGTTACCCAGAAGAAAAGTTGGGGGCACCATGTTGAAAAAGAGAGAGTGATATTCTGGAAACAAAAAAATAACAAGTGCTCATGATGCTTTTGACACTCCTCTGGAATTCAGGGTACCTTAGGATGGAGGCAGAGTGGTGGTCAGCTAACAGTGAGACAATTTTTGGTGCCTCTACATGAAATAAGGGTCATGATAAAGCTTATACTGTGGTTACATATGAAAAAGGCTTTTCAAGGATTGTTATTAATCCCACACTACATAGCTCTTTTTTTTCTGCATTATTAAGCTTGATTAAAATATACATAGCAAAACTAAAAATATGAAAGAGCAATATATAATGGTTCAGTACCTTGAAGCAGTAAAGCCCTGTACCATATTGGGACTGGACTGTCTGTCTAAGCCATCATAGCTGATTGGTCATGTAGAAAACATGGCAGAGCAGTGCAAAAACAACTAGTAGAGATGTCTTGGGATTCTCAAGTGTTGCAGTCACTCTCTTCCTCCAATAAATAAGGGTAACTTTTCCAGTTTGTTACTGTGATTCCGTGAGGGGTCTTATCTCTGAACTAAAGGTAGACCAGATGTTGTTTTTTTCTTCCCTTATCCCCTGGCCCTGCTTTCTCTAAGATGTCTGTCCTTGTAGCAGTTCAGTGTCCTTGTAAGCAGAATATTGATACCTTTTTTTCTCCTCCTCCCTTTTCAGGGTTGTATTTTCATGCCGTGGTTTTAAAATTTCAGAAAGGAGAGAAAGCCTTTCAGGGAGCTCTGCTTATCCCCTTGTGTCTACTTGGCCTCAACGGAGGAAACGTAATCAGAAGAGTGCAGATGCAGGCTGTCAGCTCCATGAAATACCTTTGAGGTATATATTTGTTTCATATTACACAGTAGAACTGACTGTTGGGATTTGTGTGTTTCTTCAGTATTGTTAAAAAAAAAAAAAATCAAATAAACAGGACCAGCAGATGGCATGTAGGTTAGTGTGAATGGATCTCACATAGCTGGTGGCTCAGTTCAAGTCCCAGACCCAGTGGCTTGGGAATCACTCTAGGCATGTGTACATGCATGCCCAAAATCCCAAGAGGAGAATGGATGAGAAGGGATTGCAGTGGGGCCATCCCTGGTAGGGGTTGATTTCTCACTTTCTGTGTCTCTAGCAAGTAGATGTACATTATACCAAACACCGACAACCAAAATAAATAAATAAATAAATAAATAAATAAATAAACTAAACAATAAAAGGTATGAAATTAAGCAAAGACTATTTTTTTGGTGTGGAATTTGTATCAGTAGTTGTAAGTCTGTACATAGAAATAGATTTCTTAATATACGTAAAAACCCCATAACATACAACTAATCCATTCCAGTCTTGATTTGCCATTCCAAATGCAAAACATGGACTTGCATTTAGTTTATATGTAACTGAGAAATTCCTTGCTCAAATCCCAACTCATAGAAGTCTGACCAGGTACCACTTTGCTCTCCTCCCTACTCCCTGTGAGTGAGACTCCTGGGAAATCCATTGTTATTGTCAAGTGCCACATTGTTGTTACAATTAGTAAGTTTTCCTTTGTCTTTTATAATTCTTTCTACTTAACCTATTTTTTTAATGGTATAGCAAATAGAAACATTTCAACAGATAATGCATAACAGCCGAACTTCTGGTTTTAGCTGTCCCCAAATTAGGCAGCTATGTCTAGTTGGTAGGTTTGTAACCATTTTGCCAAAAATGTCTTGAGTTTTGGAACAGGAATTGGAAAAATCTTATCCCAAATTCTTTTAAAATGTACTGCACTTGAGAAATGGGAAAAGGCCTATTTTCCCTCGTAAGCACACATGCCTTCTGGTCCAGGAAAAAAGTCTATGGGAAATGAAATTAAAGTAGGAATTTATTTTAAAAGAGAGAGAGAGAAAAGAAAAGAAATGTTACCAGCTGGCAGCATGTTAGTTAAGGAGGCTGGATCCCACATGGCCAACTGTGCTATGTGATTCCCCAGCCCAATGACTTGAAAAACACACCCAGTACATGCCCATCGTCCCAAGAGGAGAATGGATGAGAAGGGATTGGGGAGTGGCCATCCTCCCAAGAGTGCTTTCTCTGGCTCACTTGCTCTCTCTTTCCCCTCCCCCCATAAGAACACATGCCCGATGGCAAAATTATTTTTTAAAAAAAGTGAAATAGAAATAATGGGTGAATTATAGCTGTCATGCCCGTCTAATACCTGCTTTCTCTACAGCCCCTCCTCCTAGGTCTGGATGGAGAATACCTTAAAGTGAAATGACAGACCAGGAGAATAACAACAACATCTCAAGTAATCCTTTTGCTGCTCTTTTTGGCTCCCTGGCTGATGCCAAGCAGTTTGCAGCAATCCAAAAAGAGCAGCTGAAGCAACAATCTGGTAAGCGGAGGAGCCAATAGCAGCAAACACTGTGACCTAAAACGGGCTTTTCCCAATTGGAGTGTTCTTTAAGTCCTTAATTGTAACTGGAATGTAAGGTGGGGCAGAAGTTGTTGTTTGTTTGTCTGTTTGTTTGTTTAGGACAGCTTTTTTCCATTTGTGTTTGTCTTTGGTTTTGTTTAGGTCCTCCCCTCCCTTCTCTTCCATGCTTAAAAAGAAACCAGATAACAGGTGGCTCTATAGTAGCAGATGCCAGTCATGAGCCCAAAGCTGTTAAGCTGTTTATTTATTATTTTTCTAACCACCTAGTAAAAGAACTTAAATAGATCTTTTTCATATAGGAAACTGAGGTGATCGTTATAGACCATGTCTCGTGCAGCTGTAGAAAGCAGCTGTAAATGAAGAATGATAAAAGCTTTTTGACCTGTAGACAATTGACATTTGTCTTTAAACTCTGTGTTGGAGGTCTTCCCAAGCAAAGGAGTTCTTCCAGGCCATGAGTAGCCTCTTTCGTAGCTTACTGCTGTTAGGGCAGATTTCTAGGAAAATCTGATCCTTTGCTTTAATATGAAGGAAATCAGAGTAGCATTTCACTAATCAGATTTTCTTCATCTTAGGCCAAATTTAAGATCAAGTTCAGCTTCCTCCTATCAGAAGACATATAGGCTAGAAGAATTAGGATGATTAGTTCTCCAATATATTAATGTCTTGAGGATATTGGGTCTTTCTTTTTTTATTATTTATTATTATTTTAAGTGTACTATAGGGCACGTGTACTCACCAGAGAGAGACAGAGAGGGAGAGAGAAAGTGAGAAAGCAGGCCGCCAGGTCTTGGACTCAAACCATGGTCAGTCACATGGGAATCTAGCTTCTTAACCACCACATCACCTGCTAGCCCCCACAGTCTATCAAATAAGAAATTGCTTTCCTTTTCCTTGCTACAAAAATAATGAAGTATTTTTCTTTTGAGAAAAGGAGAAATGTTTACATTTCAAAGGAACATTCATATGCACTGCTGACTTAGAGCCTAACTTTCTGACTAGGATGGGATGAAAAGGATGTAAAGGCAAGAAAGATGAGTGGTAGACGGGGTGGTGGATGAAGTAAGGTAAGAAATAAATGCACTGCTGACTTTTGAACACGATTTTCTCAGTGTCTGAAATCTCTGAGTTCTATGACATAGGCACAGGATGGGAAGCTTCGGAGATCATAAGAGAGAGAAAAGAGTGACAGATGAAGCATAGGACAATGAAGAAATGGGAACAGTATTATTTTGTTTGTTTGTTTATTATTTTTAGAGAAAGATTTTTGTTTTATGGTGTGTGCACTTGCCAGAGAGACAGAAAGTGAAAAACCACCCCCTCTTGCCCCCCCAGGGGGAATGGCCACACCACATTCTCTTTTCCTTCATTCTCCTCTTGGGATTTTGGGCACCCATGCACTCGCACCCAGCGTGAGTTTTAAGCCCCCGGGTCCAGGACTCAAACCATGGTCAGCTACACGGGAGTCCAGTGAGTAACTGTTAGGCTATCTGCTGGTCCCAGGAAAGGTATAATTTATAAGTATTGGATTGTCAGAAAAGTCATGATGGATTTTTGCAACAGATGGTGCTAGTTCATTTTCAGAAGTACTAGAGTCATTCACATCTTTGTTATTGCTATTATTTGACAGTCGACAGTTCTAGCTTCATTCTAAAAATAAAAAAAAAAATTTAAGCGATTTGGTTGAGTTTGGGAGGTTTTACAACAGGTTGAAGATGGAAGACCAAACTGCATTTTTTGCCATATTTTACAGTTTTACTTTCCTAAAGGGAAGAACGCACGTCAGGCTTGTGAAAAGTTGCGTAAAGTTTACGGTGACAATGCTCTGTAAGAACATCAGTGCCGATGATAGTTTATGAAATTCTGTGCTGGTGATTTTGATCTCAGTGACTCTTCTCAGCCAAAGCTCACTGAGGTTGATAATGATAAAATAAAATCATTGATCACGTCAATCCCATGTTACACAACACAAGAGATTGCAGAAACATTGAACATCTGTCATTCAGTTGTTCGCGACCACCTGAAAAGGCTGGGATATGTAAGGAAGCTCTGGTGACAAGAAATGGACTGTTCACAACGATGTGGTGCACAGACGGTCTTGGTCCTGCATGATGAGTTGCCTCAAACAACATTGGAAGCAGACCATCAGAGGAAGGTTATGCTCTCAGTGTGGTGGGATTTTAAAGGTGTTGTGTTTTTTTGAGCTCCTGCCAGTCGGTTCAAATGTGTACTGTCGGCAGTTAGTTTGAACAATTCCATCATCCAGAAGTGTTTAGAACTCATTAATCATAAAGGAGTTGTGTTCCATCTTGACAACGTGAGACCACACACAAGTTTGGTCACCTGTCAAAAATTACTGGAGGGGGAACCAGCAGTTAGCGTAATGGCTATGTCGCTGGACTCCCACGTAGTCGACCGCGGTTCGGGTCCCGGACCCGGTGGCTTAAAACTCACGCCGGGCGCGTGTGCGTGCGTGCCCAAGATCCCGAGAGGAGAATGGAGGAGAAGGGATTGCGGCGTGACCATCCCCCCTGGGGGGTGATTTCTTGCTTTCTGTCTCTATGTCTCTCTCTGGCTGGCGCGCCCTACACTGAAAATCTCTCCAAAAAAAAAAAATTACTGGAGGGACCAGCAGTTAGTGTAATGACTATGTCACTGGACTCCCATGTAGTTGATCGTGGTTCGCATCCCGGACCCAGTGGCTTAAAACTGAGGCGGGGCGCGTGTGTGTACGTGCCCAAGATCCCGAGAGGAGAATGGAGGAGAAGGGATTGCGGTGTGGCCATCCCCCCTGGGGGGTGATGTCTTGCTTTCTGTCTCTGTCTGTCTGGCGAGCGCACGCGCCCTATAGCAAAAACCTCTAAAAAAAAAAAAAAAAATTACTGGAGCTTAGATGGGACTTGGTACCACACCCACCATTCTCGCCTGACCTTGCACCACCAGACTTCCCCTTTGTTTCGCTCTCTTTAAAATTCCTTGCATGGTATAACATTCAATTCAGATGAGGCTGCAAAATAGCACCTTGTTCAGGTCCTTCTATGACAAGGAATTATGAAGCTCACTGAAAGATGGCCCAAAAAAGGTCATCAAACAAAACGGACAATGTATCATTGATTGATCTTTGTTCTTTATGTAATAAATGACCTTTGAAAAACATAGGAAAAAATATGTCATGACTTTTCCAGCAACTCAATATGTTTGAGGGAAATTTTACCAAACAGGTTCTTAGCCCCTATCATTCTTGAAATTCAAAGAACTTAAAGGTATAGGAGCAGAGCTCAGAGCATTCTACCTTCTGGCTGTAAACAGAGGCAAGGCTGGCTAAAGTTGGGAGCACTGCAGGCACCAAGCAGTGGGGACAGGTCAGGCATATGCCCTATTTTGGCATCTTGTCACACTAATTCGTTTACTCTGAGTTTATCATGCTACAGGTCCAGCCTGTTCTCTACCTGCAGTTAGTAGTCTGCCAAAACCTTTGGCCTCTTGCATTGAACTTCACTTTTACCAAACTCACCTGGTAAACCAACTCTTACATCTGAGAGTTTTATCTAGACTTTCAGAATAACCAATTGGTTGGCACTAGTAGATGGCGTAATGGTTACATCACTGGACTCCTACATGGTTGACTGTGGCTAGAGTCCCAGACCCAGCGCCTTGAAACTCATGCCAGGCATGTGTATATGTATGCATGCCTAAAATCCTGAGAGGGGAATGGAGGAGAAGAGATTGTGGTGTGGGCATCCCCCTGGGGAGTGATTTCTCTCTTCCTGTCTCTGTATCTCCAGTGAGCACACACATCCTAGCGCAAAGATCTCTCTAAAAATAATAATAATAATAATAAATGGTCTATCAATAGAGTAAAGCAGATATAAACTCATGTATGGCTTTGGGTGAATAACAAAGAGTGGCCAGCAGGTAGCTTGGAGGTTAAGGTGGCCGGATCCCACAGAGCCAGTTGTGTGGTTCAAGTCCCAGACCATCTGGCTTGAAGAACGCGTCAGTCGCATGTGCATGCATGCCCAAAATCCTGAGAGGAGACGAGCAGGGATTGCAGTGTGGCCACCCCCCCAGGAGGTGGTTTCTCACTTTCTTTCTTTCTCTTTCAAGCCAGTACATGGTGCATGTGCCCTATAGCAACAGCTAAAAATAATTAAAGGAATTGAGTCAATAAGAAAAAAGTAACCAGAGAGGGGGAAAAAAAATAAAAGATTTGGTAAGCAACTTGTATATGGTAATCAAGGATTAGAAAATCCAATTTCACTGATCATTAGAGAAATGCAGATTAAAACAGATAGTTTTAATAGTTTGTAATAGTTTGTGATATTTTACAAGTTCAAACAGGCACTCTGTCATACACTGTTGGGTACCCACATAAATCACAGCAGCTTTTCCAAGTGTAACTTGGTACCTGTTAACTTTTTAAAAAATTTTTTATAAGAGTATTTTTTTTTTTTTTTGCCTTAGGGCTTGTGCACTCTGGAGAGAGAGAGAAAGGCAAAAACAGTGAGAAGAAAAGTGAGAAATCACCTCCCAGGGGGTGGCCAGGCTGCAATTCCTTCTCCATTCTCCTTTTGGGCACGCATGCACACACACCCAGTGTGATTTTCCAGTCACCAGGTCTGAGACTCAAACCATGAGAATCCAGCAACATAACCACTACACCATCTGCTGGCCCGAGTACATGGTAATTTTTAAGTGTTCAAGTTCTTTGACCAAGAAATTTTGCTTCTACAAATTTATCCTACAGAAGTACTCATATAAGTGAACAAAAAGAGTTAAAGTATATTTAGTACCATAGTGCTCAAAATGCAAAAAATTGGAAACAACCCTGTTGTTTGTCAGTTGAGAAGTAGCTGCATGAATCACAGTGCATGCAAAAAGTGTAGTACAGTGCAGCCACTGAGCAGAGTGAAGGTGGGCCAGCTCCAGCCCTGGTAGTCAAGACACCCACATGGCCAACTGTATGATTTGAGTCCTGGACCCAGTGACTTGAGAAACATGCCGGGTGAGTGCATGTGTATATGTGTGCCGAAAATCCCAAAAGGAGGGGGATATAGAGAAGGGATTGCAGCGTGATCTCCATAGAGGAACTTTCTCCTCTTCCTCTGTGTGTGTGTCTGTCTGTCTGTCTGTCTCTGGGAGTATACCCACTCTCTATCAGGGTAAAAAAAAAAAGAGGGAGGCAGCCCTGTGGCCTTGCAGATAAGAGCCAGATCCCATATTGCTGACCACAGTTCAAATCCCAGCCGTAGTGGCTTAAAAAAGACACTAGGGGGCCAGCTGGTGGTGTGGTGGTTAGGGGCGCTAGATCCCCATATGACTGACTGTAGTTCGTGTCCCAGACCTGGCGGCTTGCTTTCTCACTTTCTCTCACTCACTCACTCTCTCTCTCTCTCTGGTCACATTTAAATAAATAAATTTAAATAAAATTTTTTTTTAAAAAAAGACCATTAAAAAAAAAAAAAACAGACTGTGTGTGCAGGTCTAAAACCCTGACAGGATGGAACCAGCAGTTAGTGTAATGGCTATGTCGCTGGACTCCCGCATAGTTGACCGTGGTTCGCGTCGCGGACCCGGTGGCTTAAAACTCACGCCAGGCGTGTGTGCATGCGTGTCCAAGATCCCGAGAGGAGAATGGAGGAGAAGGGATTGCGGCGTGGCCATCTCCCCGGGGGGTGATTTCTCGCTTTCTGTCGCTCTGTCTCTGTCTGTCTGGCGAGCGCACGCAACCTATAGTGAAAACCTCTCAAAAAAAAAAGGAATAAAACCCTGACAGGATGAAGGAGGGATTGCAGCATGACCATGCTCCACTGGGGGATCCTTTCTCCCTGTCTGTCTGTCTCTGGTTAATACTTGGACCCTCTGCCAATTAAAAAAAAGATAAGAAAAGAAGTAGGCTTCTAACTGGTCTAACAGGAGATAGCTTGGTGTTGATTGAGTTTAAAAGTAAGCCAAGGGAGAGCCAGCAGGTGGCATGGTGGATAAGGCACTGGGCTCCCACATGGCTGACCGTGGATTGAGTCCCAGTCCTGGTGGCTTGAAAAATCATATCATGTGCATGTGTGCCCAAAGTCCTCAGAGAATGGACAAGTGGGATTACAGTGTGGCCATCTCCCCTGGGAGATGATCTTTCACTTTCCCTGACTCTGTCTCTCTCTGGCCAGCATGCTATAACAAAAAATCTAAAACAAAACAAAACAAAAAACAACAAATCATGGGCCAGCAGATGGTATGGTGGTTACGGCAGCTGGATCTGACATAGCTGACTGCATTTCAAGTCCTTAAGCCAGTGGCCATGAGTGTGTACCTATGTGGCCTAGAATCTTAAAAGAAGAATGGAGAATGGTGGCCATCCCACCAAGGATGTGTTTTTTCTCTTTCTCTCTGTCTCTATCTCCAGCGAGTGCACATGCTCTATAACAAAAAACAAAATAAAGGCAAGCTGAAAGACATTCTACAGTATAATCACATTTTTTAGACAAAATTAAAAGTCATAGTAATGAACATTACCACCAGAATATGGGGAAAAATCTGGAACACTGCTTAAATGGTTATCTGTAAGGAATGGTTTAGAGAAGAATTTCTGTTTGTTTTCTGAAAAATTTGGAATTATTAAACGAATGTACTCTTAAAATCAGGGAAAAGGCCAGGCCAGGTGGTGGCATAGTGGTTTAGGTGCTTGGATCCTACATAGCTGACTGCACAATTCAAGTCCCAGACCTGGCAGCTTGAAAAACATTGTGGGCATGTGTGTGTACATGCACAAAATCCTGAGAGGAGCAGGGATTTCTCTTTCTAGCAAGTACATGCCTTATGACAAATTTAAGAAAGATAATAGGCATACCTTTAAGATAATTAAAGGTACTTTGGCTGTTAGGTTATAAAGTAATCTTTTGTTCACTAGGATTCTATAGGAAAATGATGTTTTGGGTTTTTTTTTAAAGAATTACTAATTTTATTCATTCGTTTTATTTTAATTTTACCAGAGAAATATATACAGGGAGGAGAAGAGAGAGAGCGAGAGGGAGAGAGAAAGAAAGCCACCAGGTGCAAGACTCAAACCATGGTCAGCCATGTGAGAGTGTCCTGGAGGATGGTATACAGTTATGAGTAAAATAAAATAATAAAAATAATAAATAAAATAAAATAAAAATTTTGCTTTGTAAATGTGGTAGGGTTTATTTATTTTTGCCATAGGGTGTGTGCACTCACCAGAGAGACAGAGATAGTGAGAGGAAAAGTAAGAAATCACCCCCCGGGGGGATAGCCATGCCACAGTACCTTCTTTTCTTCAGATTTTAGATATGCACACACATGTGTCCAGTGTGATTTTCAAGCCACCAGGTCTGAGACTCGAACTGCAGTCAGCCATGTGGGAGTCCAGTGCCTTAACCACCATGCCGCCTGCTGGTCCCAGTGTGGTAGGATTTATAATCAAGGATTTCAACGTCCTATACTTAACTCCCCTGATTTGAGTTCTTCACTAACCAGATGATTAGTTGTTTCATATCTGAAACCCACCTCCTCTTAGTTGCATTGATCAGTTCTATAGTGTATGTGGTTCTCTTAAGGAGAAGAATGTGAGGGTTAACAGCGTACATTTTCTGGCAGATGAACTCCCAGTTAGCCCAGATGACTCGGATAATAGCGTGTCGGAGAGCCTGGATGAGTTTGATTACTCCGTGGCTGAGATCAGCCGCTCATTCCGCTCACAGCAGGAGATTTGTGAGCAACTCAACATCAATCACATGATCCAAAGGATCTTCCTCATTACTCTGGACAACAGTAAGTTATAGACTTGTAACCAGTCTGTTCATTGTTCCACCCTTCAGACCTGGGCACAGGCTAGGGGCTTGCTCTGAGAGACCTATTGAATCTGATGGTGGTCAGATAAACCCAGCTGTACTCCCTGGGATACAGGGTTTGTATTTCAATGAAGCTTTTGGTGTGACCAAAGAACAGTAGTTAGACACAGATCTAACTTGTATTCCTATTTTGGTACTGATTGGGCCATGTAGCTCCTTGGTTTTATTCCCTTAAAAGGGAAATGAGAATGGTAACCAACCCATTTTTTTCTCTGAAGTGACCTGAATATTCATATAGAAGCCCTCAGAGATGTAAGACAGTGTTTGTTTCTGTCATTGAACCTCAAAGTTAATGTAATGTTTGGGATTTACTCTAAATATTGTGACATTAGTTTTATAACAAAGCTTCACGGTGGCTCAGGGGAAAAGGGATATAAATTGCTAGGTGCTGGTTTGTGTGTCCGGGTTATCCTGTTACTTCCTGGGTTATACCTGGAGTTCAAGAGAAGTGCTGTCAAGATCAGTTGTCTGTATAGACAGAAGCATGATCCTTAACCTGTCAGATTGAAACCATTTCCCAGGTGATCCAAGCTTGAAAAGTGGGAATGGCATCCCCAGCCGTTGCGTGTATTTGGAAGAAATGGCAGTGGAGCTGGAAGATCAAGACTGGCTTGACATGAACAATGTGGAGCAGGTACCGTTATTCTGTCCCCAAGGCATGCCCTCAGCAACAATAAGCCACGCAGCCGAACTGCTGCCATTCTCAGCCATGGCTTTGCTTACATCCATCCCTTCCTTTGTTCCTGGTGTCCCTCTTCTAGAATCTTCTTACCCACCATGCCTACATGTCCAAATCTACCCATTGTTCATGGGTAAGAACAGTTAAAATGACATCTTATGTGCTAAGCCTTGCCAGGTAGGAGTTTCACTCCTTCACATCTACATCTTTTCTGGGAATTGTCGCTTTCTGTCTCACATTGTAGCTTTATTATGAACTCGGCTTAGCTCCCCATTAGTCTCTTCAGTTATTGAGTGCAAGGCCCATTTCTTTTGCTTTTATTTTTTTTAAGAATTTTTTTTTCATTTATTCATTCATTGACTTTAATTTGGCCAGAGAGAGAGAAAGTGAGAAAGCAAGCCACCAGGTCCAGGACTCAAGCCATGGTCAGCCATGTGGGAGTGTCCAGTGCCTTAACTATCTGTTGGTCTCCTCTTGCTTTTTAATGTCCTAAAAATCAAAACAATGCATTGTACTTTACAGGTGCCCGATTAACATTAAGGGAAGGAATGTTTGGAAGGGAAGACACTCAGCTTACTGTTTAACCTGAGTTTGAGTGAGGTCAGCAGTCACAGAGTAGGCTTCACGTCTAAGTTTAATACTGATGCTCACCACCATTCAGCAGTCTTGTAATGCCTCCTCTGCGCTGGGGCTGTACTAGATCCTGGAGGCTTGATTTAGGGTAACTTCATATACACAATTATTTCCTAATATTTTCTAAGGTGATAAGATTCTGGATTCTTTCCTTTTATTCCCCTTCACTCAACACCCAAGTTTGTGATTCTTGCAGTAACCTGTATCATAATCACTTTTTGTATCTTAATGTTCAAAGGTTAACTCTGTGGTAGTTTAATCCTTCTGTTTGTTTTTTGTGTTTTTTTTTTTTTCCCCAATAGGCCCTCTTTGCTCGCTTATTACTTCAGGATCCCGGCAACCACTTGATTAACATGACTTCTTCCACAACATTAAATCTCTCTGCCGACCGAGATGCGGGGGAAAGGCACATTTTTTGTTACCTCTACTCCTGCTTCCAAAGAGCCAAGGAAGAGGTAAAGGGGTAATCACTGAATATCGTATTGTCCTCTTGGGAAAGCCAGGGGTGGCCATGTCATTTACATCAGTTTACATACATCGGAGTACCTGGAACTGGCTATCGGCCATGTTAGTCTGTCTTCTAAAGCTTTCGTCCCTCCTTTCTGTGGAGTGAGGTTCACCCTCTTTCCAATTAGCCCATACCTCCTTTTCTTACCACAAGCCTCTTTAAAAATCCTACCCTTAAAAGAAGCCTGAGAAATTTATTTCCACTGTGTACATATTAGCATAGGCAAAGCTTAATGCTTCTGGGATTGGAATTTTAACAAGTAGGTGACTTCTGAAGCCAAAGAATGCATCTCCTAAACTCCTGAGCATCCACTGGAGACCACCATTGTTTTGGGGCACCACGCCTTTTCCATTCTGTTCATCGTGTCTACCCTGTTCAGGTGCTTGAGCAAGACTCTCCCCTCTTCCCCACGCTGTGTGCAGATTACCAAAGTCCCAGAGAACCTGCTGCCATTCGCAGTGCAGTGCCGGAACCTCACTGTCTCAAATGCTCGGACAGTTCTCCTCACCCCCGAGATTTATGTTGACCAAAACATCCATGAGCAGCTGGTAGATTTGATGTTGGAAGCCATCCAAGGAGCCCGTGAGTACATAAGCAAATCTGTGAGCTTCTGCCTTTTGATTTCCACATTTAAACTTTTGTCTAGTTGTATTAGAAAGTCTTAGAGGCAGGGCTAGCCCATGACCCAGTGGTTGGGAAACTGCATCCCAATGGTCAACCATGCAGTTCTAGTCCTGGACCCGAAGGTTTGAGAAACACACAGGTGCATGAGTATATGTACCTAAAATCCCAAAAGGAGGGAGAGGTGGAGAAGGACTGCAATGTGACTGTATCCCCCAAGGGGTGCTTTCTCCCTGTTCTCCCTCTGTCTCTGTCTCTCCCTCTCCATCTTTCTCTGATGTGCTCACAAACCTCTAGCAAATTAAACAGATCTCAAAACCATTATGGTCTGTACAAGACAAGGAAAAGAGCTGCTTTGATCTTTGGGGTTGAATCCCACTAGAATTATTTAAAGTGTCAGAAGATTAAAGAGCCAGTGTATAAAGGCACATAAAAATTCCTGCAGTGTCCTTTCCATCTCATTTGTTTCCTGTCAGATTTTGAAGATGTAACCGAATTTCTGGAAGAGGTCATTGGAGCCTTGGTATTGGATGAGGAAGTTCGAACATTTCCAGAAGTCATGATTCCGGTGTTTGATATTTTACTGGGCCGAATCAAAGATCTTGAGCTCTGCCAGATCCTGCTGTCTGCATATCTGGATATTCTTCTCTATTTCACTAGGCAAAAGGACATGGCAAAGGTAGGTCTGAAAGGCAGCACATGCTTGGGTGAACTGGAGCTATAACACATACTTCTTTGTCCTGAGGACACCATACTACACATTCTTTATTACCTTTAAAATAACTGAAAGGTTGGGGCCAGCAGGTGGCATAGCAGTTACATAGCTGGGCTCCCACATGGCCAACCACAGTTCACACCCTGAATTCAAAAATCATGCTGGGCACATGTGCATGTGTGCCCAAGATCCCAGGAGGAGAATGGAGGAGAAAGGATTGTGGTGTGGCCATCCCCCCGGGAGGTGATCGCTTACTTTCTCTCTTTCTCTCTCTCTCTCTCTTCCTCTCTCTCTCCCTTACTCTCGCTCTCTCTCCAGTGAGCATATGCACCATAAAGCTAAAACATCTTAAAAAAATTTTTTTTAGCTTTTTAAAAAGACAAACTCAAAGATAGATGGTTGTTATATAGAGACAACTCTTGAGACCTCTCATCTCACTATATAGACAAATAAGTAGTGTTTGTCTTTTCCCACAGGTATTCGTGGAATACATCCAGCCCAAGGACCCCAGCAATGGGCAGATGTACCAGAAGACCTTGCTGGGAGTAATTCTGAATATCTCCTGCTTATTAAAGACTCCTGGTGTGGTAGAGAACCATGGCTACTTCCTGAATCCATCTCGTTCCAGTCCCCAGGAGATCAGAGTACAGGAGGCCAACATTCATCAGGTGGAACCGCTCACCGGGGTATCGCAGCCCCCTGACCTTAGGTTAAATAGTTTCCTCAGGAAGCAGATACAGATAAGGCTGCTCCAGCCTCTCTGGGAAAGCAAATGGATCTGGTTGACTTTTACCATAATCATGTAGAGAGACTGCCCTCTTTTTAGCCTGTGCTAAAAACCGAGGGCCGACCTCTTTGTGGGGTAAGGATGAGCTGCCATTGCCCTGTGCCGTGTGCTGTGGCACTGCCCCTTCCCCTCCACCCTCGTGTTTCTCACTGAGCTATTTCTTAGAATTTTGCTCCAAAATCTTTTCATTGAATGGCACCTTATAAATCGACCCCCCACCACCACCACCTATGTTCTCTCCATTTGGGTTTCTTAGCATAAATTATAGTCGAGGTCCAGCCCACATGAGGCATTTAAATGGTAGAATCTGCGACAGTCTGCCCTCACCATTTGATCGTCACAACCGCCTGAGCAGGGGTTGGCAAACCATGGCAGTGTCCAGATCTGGCCTCTGCCTGTTTCTGTAAACAAGGTTCTGTTGAACACAGCCATGCCCATTCTTCTGTGCATCGTTCATGGCTGGGTTTCATGTCACATGGTGGGGTCGAATAATTACTGCAGAGACCATATAGCAAGCAAAGCCATACATACTTACCATTTTAACCCTTTGTCATTAAAAAAAACTGTGTGATGTGGTCTGCAGTTTGGCAACTGATCAGAAAAATCTCTAAGAAGATTCCGTAAATCTGTATGTATATTTTAAAATCAGAGCTGGGGATAAGGCCCAGGAAAAGTGAGGGGAAAGATTAGGATTAGTGTATTTTTAGAAACTGCCAGTTGCTAAGGTTTGGGAATAAAAAGTTTTCAGATTATGAAACTGGCATGTTCTCTGGTTGTGTTTTCTGGTTACACAGTTCATGGCTCAGTTCCATGAAAAGATCTACCAGATGCTGAAGAACTTACTCCAGCTCTCTCCAGAAACCAAACACTCTATCTTGTCCTGGCTTGGGAACTGTTTGCATGCAAACGCGGGCCGCACCAAGATCTGGGCCAATCAGATGCCGGAAATCTTCTTCCAAATGTACGCCTCAGATGCCTTCTTTCTGAATCTGGGCGCTGCTCTCCTGAAGCTCTGCCAGCCATTTTGCAAACCCAGATCCTCTCGGCTTCTCACCTTTAATCCCACTTACTGTGCCCTGAAGGAGCTGAACGATGAAGAACGAAAAACCAAAAATGTACACATGAGAGGTAGGGAAGAACCGGGCTTTTCTAAACTGCTGTGTGTGTGTGTGGGTAATATCTAAAGTATATGCTTCCTTATCCTTTTTTACAAAGTACCTCTCTGAAAAGAGATAAGGCAGAAAGCAGAATTATGTTTAAAATTTTAAGGCAGACTTTTAACAGCTAGTAGCTTTTTGTTTGTTTTTGTTTTTTAAGGTTTTTGCCATAAAGTGCACTTGCTAGAGAGAGACAGAAGGAAGGTGAGAAATCACCCTCCTCCCAAGGGAGATGGCCACACCACAATCCCTTCTCTTCCATTCTCCTCTTGTGGTTTTGGGCACATATGTACACATGCCCAGTGTGATTGTTCAAGCCACTGGGACTCAAACCATGGTCAGCCATGTGGGGAGTCTAGCACCTTAACCACCATGCCACCTGCTGGCTCCCAACTGGTAGCTTTTAAATGTGCTTTACTGCATCTTTCTGTCTAGATTTGGCAGCATCATATACATTCATTTTTTATAAAAGGAATAAAACACAGTCCTTCTCCTTTTTGAACTCAGAGGCTCCAGAAGAACGCAATTTTCTTAAGCATTATTTTACTTACTTATTTTAATTTGACCAGAGAGGGACAGCGAGAGAGAAAGAGAGAGTGAGAAAGTAAGCCACCAGGTCCGGGACTTAAAGTTCAGTCGGCCATGTGGGAGTCCAGTGCCCTCAACCACCACGCCACCTGCCAGACCCGAGGGCAAGATATGTTAACAGATGACGATAATATGGTATAAGTCTAAGCTGTTGGGCACAGAGAAGGAAGTGAATAATCAGCCCTGTAGAAGTTAGAGGTCTTTGTGGCCAAGTGTTGAAAAATGAGTTGAGTTTTACTGGGCAAAGGAGTGGGAGAGCCCCTTTATACAGTGTGATAGCAAAGATAAGAACTTACAGCTGTGGGGAGTCTTGATTGAGGAACAGTGATAACCTCTATGGGGCAAGGGCAAGGGGTAGATGAGAGTGGGGTGAGAAGTAGAGGAAGTGGGTCTGGGGAGAAGGAGATCACAGAAAACTTGAATAATAGAGAGAAATGGAAAGAAACTAAATGATTCACAATTCTACCCTACAAAGGAACTTACTCTTAATTTTGATGTGTTTCCTTCCAGTTTTATAATTACCTTAATTATAAAAATGATACCTGGGCCAGCAGGTGGTGTGGAGGTTAAGGTGGCTGGATTCCATCAATGAAAGTGTGACTTTCAAGCTGTGAAAGTCACACTGGGTGCATGTGCGTGCATGCGTGCCCCAAATCTCTATAGACATGAATGAAGGAAAAGGGATTGTGGCATTACCATCCCCTCTAGGGAGTGATTTTTTTTTTCTCTCTCTCTTTTTCTCTCTGGTAAGCACATGCACCCTATAACAGACTTTTTTTAAAATAAATAAATAAAGATATCTGTCCAAAATCAAATAAAAATTGTTCAAATTTATGGGGTACGGTGTAATTTTCCGATGCATGACTGCACTGTGTAATCAATTCAGGAATTAATTAGCATATCCTTCCCCTTGGTCATTTATGTTACGTTGTGTTGGGAACATTCAAAATCCTCTCTTCTAGCCATTTAAAATATGCAATAAATTGTGGTTACCAATTAAGCATAAATACAAAAAAAGCACAAAATAAATACAAATAATCCATTACTTGCCTATTACTTGAAAAAATATTTACAGTGTTAATTGTTCCTTTTAATTTTTGACGACTTTATGGTCAAGCAAAAGAGATGTAACTGTACTTCCCGAGATAGTAAGAAGCCAACATATCATTTCAGACAAGAAGTAACATCACAAGGTTTGTCTTTAAGAAAGGGTCCCTGCTAGCAGTATAGGCGATGAACAAGACAAAGGGAAGACTAGCAACTAAGTTAGGGATGGCAGACCGTTAACTGTTTCTTTTAACTTGGAGGTTTGGACAAGGAAACCTGTTTGATCCCAGCCGTGCAAGAACCGACGTTTCCTCAGAGCTATAACCTTGTAACAGAGAACCTTGCCCTGACAGAGTACACCCTGTATTTGGGATTTCACAGGTAAGTCCTCTGGTGTTACTAGAAAAGAACTGTTTTGGGGCCAGCAGGTGGCGTGGTGGTTAAGGTGCTGGACTCCCACATGGCTGACTGTGGTTCAAGTCCCGGACCTGATAGCTTGTTGCTCTCTTTCTCTCTCTCTCTCTCTCCTCTCTCTCTCTCTCTCTCTCTCTCTCTCTCCCTCTCAAAGGAAGTTGTATACACTTATTTGTGTTTACATGATTGGCTTTGTTCAGATTACTTAAATTTATTTCTAACTTTTTTGATGTGAACTTAAACATATCTTTTATATACTTAAATTTTATATATGTAGATATATTCTCTATATTTACAAGTTATTGTGATTGTCATCTGGGAAAGTGGAATTGTTTTCATTTCACTTTGTTTTACATTTGTTTCATTTTGTTTTACATTTCACTTTGTTCCTTTGGATTTTCATTACTAACTACTGATGGAAAAGGCCAACCTTTATTATATTCTACAGTGTCGACAGAAATTCATGAGATTCCAATAGGATTATAAAAGATCTATGTATCTAAGAAAAAGAGCATCCTAGAAGTGTGAAGACATGAGAACTAGACTCCAAAAATAGTTTTGGTTCTGACTAGTCATACCTCCAGTAATTTTCTTCTTTCTGATTTAGCTATTTATGACTATGAGTATAAACAAAGGGGGAACATACCAGCTTAGTCATTGTCTGTAGGTAGAGGTATTGGGAATAGCAGCTTCGTTTTTGGTTTTATCTTTTGTTTGTACTTTTTCATGAGTTAACTCTCTTGATAGGGTCTCACCACGCCATGCAGTCCCCCTGTCCCAGCCTCCCAGCCAACCAGGACCACAGGGGCATGTCCCTTTGCCCAGCCTGTTTAGGTTGGGTCTCAGCCACTGTGCAGTGGCACCCTCCCCTTGGCCACCATGGGTGGGCCAGGGGTAGCGATTTTTAGTGCCTCTTCAGGATACTTAAATTGACAAATTATTTTTCAAAACTGTTTAATCAACAAACTACTAGGAAAATGGAATTGTGCTTTTATTAGAAAATTTTTCTATTCTTAATTGTGTCTCTATTAGAGAATTTTTGTATTTCATCATCGACATTTTAAATCAGCCATTGGGTAAATGATTAGCACGTATATAACCTCAGCATGCTCAGCTGTCTAGATTCAAACACAGAAGTGGATATCGTCCAGTTTTCCAGTATTGACTAGCCCTAGACCTTACCTGCAGGATCCAGGGAGGGGGTTTTGGACTATCCACATAGAAAGTGATCCAGACTGAGTTTTGGGTCTCCTTTTCAGTAGAGAATATTTGGCTGACCTGTCGTGAAGACTGATTCACTGTATATCAAACAGCAGAGAGCTGGAAGCAGCTCTTGGGTCACATCCCAAGTGGCTACTAGTCTATATGTGGCCGTTACTAATCTAGAGACCCTTTACCACCTTAATTTTCTGCTAACCATGGAAAGGCCCATCAGAGTATGAGCACTGCACTTCCATGGTGTACTACTACCTTGCTGGGCTTCGTGTACCGTGCCTGATGATTATTTATGTGACAGAATAGCGTGCGCCCTACGGCCTGCTCAGCCCGGCTCCTGCTCTTTAGATGCAGCACTTCAGCTAAAACCCACTAACGGTTTGTGATTAGTTTCAGTTGTGTTGGATATTTGGTAACATTCTCCTAGTGCTACACCCCTTGCTCCTGTCCTGTCCAAAACAAGTCATCTGCATCATCACAACTGCCACTCCTTAAAGAGAAGGGTGGAATAAACGATGTAGTATTTGTTTTTCTGAGAAGGTTTGCACTACGACGTCTGTAGGAAGCCTCTCTGACCCAGTCTCTTCTGCTCTTTGGGGGCAGGTTGCATGATCAGATGGTAAAAATCAACCAGAACCTGCATCGGCTGCAGGTCGCCTGGCGGGATGCGCAGCAGAGTTCGAGCCCTGCTGCCGACAGCCTCCGCGAGCAGTTTGAACGACTGATGACCATCTATCTTTCCACCAAGACGGCCATGACTGAGCCACAGATGCTACAGAACTGCCTGAACTTGCAGGTGTCCATGGCAGTTCTGCTGGTCCAACTGGCCATAGGCAATGAGGGCTCACAGCCAGTAGAGCTAACCTTTCCTTTGCCAGATGACTACAGCTCCTTGGCTTACGTGCCAGGTAAGCGGACTCTCCCCTGGGGACTCCCCACTTATCATCAGCCTAACTGGGTCACTTAGGAAGCTGAATCCTCTGAACACCTTTCCCAAGTCGTTATTCCATTGTTTTTAGAGAAACCACTTAAACATGTAGGTAATACCTACTAGGCAAAGCATGGGGTGTACTATCAGTTTGTGCCTTCCCTCATGTTCCTGCTGGTATGCATGTCAGAAGATCCTCTTCAAGGGATTAAGTGCATTCAGGTTTTTCAGAGCTGTTAGTTTCTATTATTAATATTATTATTCACTTAAAATTTATCTTAAGTGTCCATGGGCTTCTTTAATTTTTTTTTTTAAAGAATTATGTTATTTAATTTTATTTACTTATTTATTTAAGTTTGACCAGAAAGAAACAGAGTGAGAGAGAGAGAAAAGGAAAGTGAGAAAGCAAGCTGCCAGGTCTGGGACTCGAACCACAGTCAGTCATGTGGGAGTACAGTGCCCTTAGCCACCATGCCACCTGCCAGCACTCCCGAGCTTTAAAAATAAAATAACCTGTTGGTTAGCACACAAGTTAACTGCCAGTGTTATGAGTGTGTGTCTGTCAGTGAGGCTCTCACAGATACGGTCCGTCAAATCAGGTTACATGTTCTCGGTTGCTATATTGGGCATTCATAAAGTTCATGGAAAAATGGAATTAAAGGACACGTTTATTTTGGTGCAAAAAAGTTTGAAACCTTCATTTAATATTTTCATAATACGCATCTTCCGTACGCTTTTTGAAGCCCCCACATGTATTTCATTGTAGCGAATTATCCCCAAACGTAGCATAGCAACTTAAAACTGCAAATATGGTCTCCCTGAGTTTCCATGGGTCAGGAATCCAGGCGCACTTGGCTGGCAGGCTCTGCCTCAGTCTTTCATGAGGGTGCAGCCAGGCTGTCGGTCAGAGCCATAGGAATCCGAGCGCTCGCCTAGGGCTGGAGGTCCGCTTACAAGCACAGTCACGCGGCTGTTGACAGGCCTCGGTTGCTTGCACTTTTGGCCAGCCGCCTCTTTTCTCGGCCACTTGCGTCTGTTCTCGGTACTCATTACATGACAGCTGCCCCCCTTCTCTGAGCAAGTGACCAAAATGGAACCTGATCTTGGAAATGACATGCCATCACTTCTGCTGTGTGCCTTGGAAGATTATAGGAGGGGAGGGGACTACCCACGGGCATGCATACCAGGAGGCAAGGATCACTAGAGTACTGTCCCGGAGGCTAGCTGCCACCGTCTCTAGTGGGTTCATCTTTATTAATGAGTCTTCAGACCACAAAGAGTTGTTTGGTTTAAACCGTAGTTACTCTTGAGAGTGGAGGAGTGTATGTGGCAGTACACTAGTGTGCCGACAGTATTGTGGTCATCGCTGCACATACATCTACTTGGAAGTAAAAGTTGTCTTAACATTTAAACGAGATTCCACATTCATTAACCTGTCCCCATCCCTAGTACCAACAAGACGTTCAGGTTTTGTAACCTTAAGTAAGGCAAAAAGAAGAAATACAGATGTTACGTAGGACAGACATCTGGCTAATTCCAGCGGAACTTTCTTCCTCAGAATTCTTTGCAGATAACCTTGGTGACTTCCTCATTTTCCTCCGCCGCTTTGCTGATGACATCTTGGAGACATCAGCAGATTCCCTGGAGCACGTCCTTCACTTCATCACCATTTTCACTGGAAGCATAGAAAGGTGAAGCACTGAGTCCTGGGCCCTGTCACTGTTTAGAACTGCAAGACATTCAGAAGCCTTCCGAGCCGAGAAATAAACAGGCCTAAATCATAAGGGGTTGCCTTCAGGAGTCACTGACATTAATGAGTCACCTGAGCATCCTTATAGGAGCCTCAGGTCCCACTGCTGGGAGGCATAATAAGCAGAGGCCTTTGCCCAGAGAACTTGAACCTACGGATAAGGTACCTGGTGGGGATTCCACTGCTAGTCCCTGGTCAAAATCGTCCCCATAACACCAGAAACCTCACAGTGGCAGCCAGCTGAGAATGATCTTGTAAGTGCATAGTAGCTAATCTCGCTCTTGCTTTTCTGAGGAGGCTGAGCAGTAAACTTAGGTCAGAGTTTTTGTGATCTCAAGTCTCCTCACCCATAGCTTATTTATTTATTTATTTATTTGCTTGCTTGCTTTTTTATTTTTTGCTAGAGGACACTTGCACTCACTGGAGGGAGAAAGAAAATAAGAAAGCGTCCCTCTCCATGAGGGATGGTCACACACCAGTCCCTCCTTTTGGGATTTTGGGAACACCCACACTCACACATGCCCCATGTGTTTCTTAACCCTCCAGGTCTGGGAATCAAACCATGCAGCCAACCATGTAGATACATTTACCCTAACCACCATGCCACTGGCTGGTCCCCCTTTCCCAAAGGAAGATACTATAGAATTGCTTCCCTGAGGTTTTTGGTGCATAGGCCAAAGGAAGCTGAAACTCTGTGTATAAAAGTGAAGATTTGCTGCACAGCAATGTGGACTCACAGTTCCCTGAGCAGCATCAGTGAGACATAGAAGCCAGTCCTTCATGGAGCTGAGCAGGCCTCGCGAGAAGTCATGAGTCAGCAAATGTTTATCAGGCACCCGTTGTATCAGTATATACGTTGTGGGTAATAAGATAATTATTCTTAAAAGGCTCAGAAAGGCAACCTGTCTCAGGTAAAATTATCAGAGAGTAGTAAGCAGTAAATGATGTGTTATATTAAAGAGAGGTAAGGGAACCAGCAGTTAGTGTAATGGCTATGTCGCTGGACTCCCACGTAGTCCACCGTGGTTCACGTCCCAGACCCGGTGGCTTAAAACTCATGCCAGGCGCGTGTGCGTGGGTGCCCAAGATCCCGAGAGGAGAATGGAGGAGAAGGGATTGCGGCATGACCATCCCCCCTGTGGGGTGATTTCTCGCTTTCTGTCTCTGTCTTTCTCTGTCTGGCAAGCGCCCGCCCCCTGTCCCTTTGTCTCTCTCTGTCTGTCTGGCAAGCCCACGCGCCCTATAGCAAAAAAACCTCTCCAAAAAAAAAAAAGAGAGAGGTAAACAGAATAGCTCAGCAATCCACAATAACCTAATTACTCATTCATCCTCATATTTGGTAAGCTGTCTTCTAAAGAGTCCTGAGAAATTTCTGACAAAACTGCAAAAGTAGATGCTGTTTTTTTCCTAATAATGGTAGGACAGGGTGTTTCAGCTGCTCATGTACGGAAACAGTCATACATTTGGGAGCTCAGCTTCCTTGCCTTCTGCTGCCTTTGCAGAATGAAGAACCCCCACCTGAGGGCCAAGCTAGCTGAGGTGCTGGAAGCCGTGATGCCCCACCTGGATCAGGCCCCTAATCCCTTGGTCTCCAGTGTGTTCCACCGGAAACGTGTGTTCTGCAGCTATTCGTTTGCACCCCAACTTGCAGAAGCCCTGATCAAGGTTTTTGTGGACATTGAGTTTACAGGTAAATCAGTTATGAAGCCAGATCCAGAGCTGAGAAGCTACTACGGGTGGAGTCCCACAGCTCGCTCGGTATTTGAACATCACGAAATGCCCAGCTGTCATTTATCAGGTGCATGGCGTGTGCCAGGCTTGACGCCAAGTGCATCTCTTACAATTAACTCACTCGTTTTCCACCGCCTGAAAAGCTTTATTCTCTTGTTCTGTTTTACATAAGAAGACACAGATGTTCAAAAAGATGGAATCATTTGTCCATGTCATACAACTAAAAAGTGATAGAACCAGGTCCGCCTCACCTAAAAAACCTACATATCATCCACTTTATTATATTGCTTGATCACATTATAATTAAACAAATTAGGCTGTGTGATTAAAACCTAGGTTACTGTTTTTGCCTGCCTCAGAACTGGAATAGTGGAGACTGTGACTGCCTAACAACTAAATTGTTAGATTAAGAATTATAGCAGTTGGGGGGACCAGCAGTTGGTGTAATCGCTATGTCACTGGACGCCCATGTAGTCAACCATGGTTTGAGTCCTGGACCTGGTGGCTTAAACTTAAACCAAGCACACGTCCCTGTGTGCCTAAGATCCTAAGAGGAGACTGGATGGAGGAGAAGGGATTGCGGCATGGCCATCCTCCCTGAGGGGTGATTTCTCACTTTCTGTCTCTCTGTCTGTCTCTGTCTCTCTGGTGAGCATACTACATGCCCTATCGCAGAAAAATCTCTCAGAAAAAAAAAATTATAGCAGTCAACATTGCTTTTCTCTCTCTTATTCTGTTTGATTAAATAGTACCCTATCTCAACCAGTAAGCAAGGTATCCCTTCTAAATGGGATGTCCTACCACCCAGTGTTAAATACAACAATCATTGAAAGAGGCATTTAACATTTTATAAGCTGTATTTCCATATTTGGATTCTGGCTTTGTCACTTGTCACCCATGAGCCTTCATTTTCTCATCTGTAAATGGGTCGAAGTGAGGATTACGTGAAATAGTACATGTAAATCTTCATGATGCATGAGGAGTTGTACAATAAATTACTGCAATTATCTCATTGTACCATGCAACCAAACACTTGTCATGTCATGCGATCTCTGTTTCATTTCTGAGGAATCATAAGTCAAAAAAGGTTAAGAGATTTGAATTAAAAAGAGCTTGGATGAAGACCTGTCCTCTGACCCCAAACTTTGCTCTTCCTTTATTATGTGACCCAGCCCATAGAGCTCTAAAGACACCTTTTTATTTCCGAAGTAGTATGAGCCACATATTTTTAGCTTCTGGCCTGATTTTTCATAGTCACAGTTGGGACTTTGCTTGTGGAGAATGTCTGGTTACTCAGTGTCCCACTCTGCCCCTGACTGTTACTGCCATAGTGGCCAGCCCATAGGCCACACTCAGGGTCTGACAAGTATTCCACATTTGGAGGTAGACGCATGTGTCTCCCTTAGTTTTTTTTTTTTTTTTCCTATAGGCTGTGTGTGCTTGCCATAGAGAGACAGGCAGAGGGGTGGGGGAGTTAGAAATCACTTCCCAGGGAGGAGGGCCACACCGCAATCTCTTCTACTCTATTTCCCTCTTGGGATTTTGGGCACGCACATGCGCCCGATGTGTTCTTCAGGCCACCAGTTCGGGGACATGTGGGAAACATCACCTTAACCACCATGCCTCCTACTGCCCCTTCCTTTGACTCCCTTACACAGCCCTGCCCCTTGTTCACTAAGATCTCCCTCTGTTCTGTCAGTAAGGAAATGACAAAACATTTGGCCACAGCTCTAGGCATCTAGAAACAACTTGGACACCTTTTTCCAGAGCGCTCAACACACACAAAAGAAAAGAAAATGACCTGCACAGACAAAAGCTCTCACTCTTGCTCTGACGTCACTGTCAGTGCTGATTCTCGTGCTCTTGCCTTCCTCCAGGAGACCCCCATCAGTTTGAACAGAAGTTCAATTACCGCCGCCCCATGTACCCCATCCTGAGATACATGTGGGGGACAGATCCCTATCGGGAAAGCATTAAGGTGAGAGTTTTGGTAAAGTCCTTTGCTTCAGATAAGCCCATAGGGTATTGACTGAGCACTAAAATGGTTTTCTCCTGGGCTGGGACTTACAGGATTTGGCCGACTATGCCTCTAAGAATTTAGAAGCCATGAATCCCCCACTTTTCCTCCGCTTTCTTAACCTGCTAATGAATGATGCCATCTTCCTTTTGGATGAAGCCATACAGGTAAAAAATATTTCTTAAAAATTATTGAACTGGGGCCAGCAGGTGGCGTGGTTGTTAAAGGTGCTGGAATCCCACATGGCTGACTGTGGTTTGAGTCCCTGACCTGACCTGGTGGCTTGCTTTCTCACTTTCTCTTTCTCTCTCCCTTTCTGTTCCTGTCTGGTCAAATTAAAAAATAATAATAGCAAATAGAAATAAGTAAAAAGAAGTTTAAATAAAAAATGATTGAGGGGACCAGCAGTTGGCGTAATGGCTATGTCACTGGACTCCGATGTAGTCGACCGCTGTTCAAGTCCCAGACCTGGTGGCTTAAACTCACACCAGGTGCATGTGCATGCGTGCTCAAGATCCCAAGAGGAGGATGGAGGAGAAGGGATTGCAGGATGGCCATCCACCCTGGGGGTGATTTCTCGCTTTTTGTCTCTTTCTCTCTCTGCTTTCTCTACCTTTTTGGCAAGAGCACGTACCCTATAGCCAAAACCTCTCAAAAAGAAGATGATGATTGAACTATTCTTGGGGCCAGCAGGTGGTGTGATGGTTAAGGGAGCTTGACTCTCACATGGCTGACCATGGTTCAAGTCCTAGACATGGCAGCTTGCTTTTTCACTTTCTCACTCTGTCCCTCCCTCTCTGATCAAATTAAAATAAATGAATAAAGTCAAGTAAAATTCCTTTTAAATAAATAGTTAAAGAAGAAAACCATTAAAAAAGATCAAACTACTCTTCTACCATGAGGTCACCATCAGTACATACTTCTTACCTTTTAAGTACACTGGCATAATCCTTGTGCCCCAGTACCCATTTTTGAACATCAAAATTTTGTAAGTAGTAAGTATACCTCAAGCTTGTCATTATAGAACTCTCTCAACTATTGTTCCACTAGAAACCAAGATCAAGGGAACCAGCAGTTAGCGTAAAGGCTATGTCGCTGGACTCCCACGTAGTCGACCACGGTTCGCGTCTTGGACCTGGTGGCTTAAAACTCACGCTGGGCGCGTGTGCGTGCGTGCCCAAGATCCCAAGAGGAGAATGGAGGAGAAGGGATTGCTGCGTGGCCATCCCCCCTGGGGGGTGATTTCTCACTTTCTGTCTCTCTGTCTCTCTCTGTCTGTCTGGCGAGCGCACGCACCCTATAGCAAAAACCTCTCAAAAAAAAAAAAAAAAAAAAGGAAACCAAGATCGAGTGTCATTGACACCACATGGGCTGAGATGGATCCTTTAGCAGAGTTGAAAAGGTAGGATAACAAAGCCTAAGGTGCACTGGCAGAGGTGGTTAACCGGGCCGGCACCACAGAAAGGATCTAGAAGCTCTCGCTTTTTGGACAGTGACTTTTAGCCATTTTCTATCCAACACATCAGTAACAGTGGCTCACTGAGGCTTGAGTTTTAACCCTCTGTCCTAAAAGGGTTTTGCACTACTACTTAAATGCAATCCCTGGGATATTTTTTCAGATAAAAATTCCAAGTTGCCAGTACTCTTCATCTGTCTACTGCCTCCTATATCCTTAACTATATTATGCAACACAGGTTTCACAAAGTATAAAATACAGCTGGGTGCCTCTCAGCTCCTTCGGTATATCATTTTCTTTCTTTCATTTTTCAAGAGAGATTTTTGCTGTAAGATTGGTGGACTTGCTGGAGAGACAGAGAGACAGAAATTACTTCCCAGGTGGATGGCCATACCATAATCCCTTCTCCCCACCCCCCTTTCGGGATTTTGGGCACACACGCACATACACTGGGCCCGAGACTCAAACTGCAGTCAGCTACATGGGAGTCCAGCGGCTTAACCATTAAGGCACCTGCTGGGCTTGTGTATCATTTTCTTAACCATCCCTTATGGAGCTCCTTATCACGCCTGTAGAAACCGAGAGTGACTATTCAGAGCACTTCAGAGCAAAACTCCCTTCCCTGTGATAGGCTGACCGCCAGGGCAGTGACTGCAAATGAGCCAAAGCAAACAAATCCTGAGGGCAGCCTCTTGGACAGTCATGAGCTCCTCTCACTGAGGAACTGGTTCCTAGCAGGCCCCTGAGGAACTCGTATTTGATTTGTGAGAAAGGTTTGATCTGTTTTTTTTCATAACCCTGTGCTTTAAGATTGAAGATAGGTTTTCTTAGAAAACGAGAGCAGGTCTTATTATAAACAGGCCCTCGTTATAAACAGCTAGAGCCGTGTGACACAAAGAAGCAGCAGATGGTATTTTCATGAGCCTAAGTTTAACACATTCGCTGTAATCGCAAGGATGGGGTAGAGTTTTAAATAATTATGGTTCTCCCTCCAGACATCTTAGATGTTTGCTAGGGTTTGGATTTCTGATTAGCAGTCTTTTGCATTTTGTTTTCTTTCTTTTCTGGGGTTTTTTTGGTTGTGGTGGTAGAGGGTGCTGAGTGACTGGGTTTCATACATTACAGTATGTATCTTACTATTTTATAGTACAATGTACTGTTTCTAGGGAAATTACCTATGAATCTACCCAAGCTGAAACAAATCTGTAGGAAAGCAAGTTTCTTTCTTTCTTTCTTTCTTTTTTTTTGAAGAAGTTTTTGCTATAGGGTGTGTGCGCTCACCAGACAGACAGAGAGAGACAGAGAGACAGAAAGCGAGAAATCACCCCCCAGGGGGGATGGCCACACCGCAGTCCCTTCTCCTCCATTCTCCTCTCAGGATCTTGGGCACGCATGCACATGCCCCCGGCGTGAGTTTAAGCCACCAGGTCCAGGACATGAACCACGGTCGACTACATGGGAGTCCAGCCACATAGCCATTATGCTAACTGCTGGTCCCCTTTCTTTTTTTTTTTAATTTTTGCTATAACGCATATGTGCTCACAGAGAGAGAGGGGGAACATAAGAAAACATCCCCCCAAAGGGGATGGAGTCCCTTCTCCTCCAGTCTCTTCTTGAGATCTTGGGCATGTATGTACACACACACCTGGAGTATTTTTCAAGTTGCCAAATCCAGACTCAACTATGCAGTCAGCCATATGGGATCCAGTTACCAAAACCATCCTGCCAGTAACTGGCCCCACAATTTTCTTCCTAAAAAATTCTTTTTAAGCTTCAGCCCTATATTCAGAAGTAAAGGCCTGTGTCGTATATGGTCTCTGGTTTTCTCCACTTAGTTGACTTGATTTTAATATGTCATAGCCCTTCAACTGCACTCTGTTCTCTGGTTTATTTCTACCTCTGGTTTCTGTAGTATTTGAGCAAAATAAAGATTCAGCAGATTGAGAAGGACCGAGGTGAATGGGACGGTCTATCTCCAGAAGCCCGCCGAGAGAAGGAGGCTGGCCTGCAGATGTTTGGACAGCTGGCGCGTTTCCATAATATCATGTCCAACGAGACGATTGGCACCCTCGCCTTCCTAACGTCAGGTAAGGGCACGAAGCACTGCTTACCCCTTGGAAGTGTGAAGGTCAAGATCTGCCTCACTTGAGGGATCATCCGAAACTAAGAACTCAGACCCTGGTGACAGCATCCTCTGCAACCGAGAGGGGAACAAATCACTAGAGAAGTTTCAAAAAGAGTGATGATACCCACTCTTGGCAGGATGAGCACATGGTCACCCTCACACAGCTGCCAGAAAATGTAACTTGTAAAATCTTTCTTGAGGACCAGTTAGCCATACAAATATACATATGTATGTGTTTGTTAATGTGAAAATGCACTCAAATCTGGATGAAAGTGGTAGATCTACCAAGACATTGATCTCTACTCCCTCTGAAGCTGCACTATTAATTCACCAGCCACTTGTGACTATCAAGCATTTAAGATGTGGCTCGTCTGAATTGGGATATGCCTTAGTATAATGCAATGCTCAGCATAAATAATGTGAAATACTTCCGTTTTCATATTGACTGTCTATTGAAATGATCATTTTTAGTGCCTGAGTTAAATATGACATGGGAATCAATGCTCACAAGAGAAGGCAGTGTGAAACAGATAATAGATGAAGACTTCTTTTAAAAAGTTTCTAATCTCAGGCTAGCAGATGGTGTGGTGGTTAAGGCACTGGACTTCCCATGGCCAACCGCAGTTTGAGTCCTAGACCCAGTAGCTTGAAACTCATGCCAGGAGCATGTGCATGCATGCCCCAAATCCTGAGAGGAACTGGAGGAAAAGGCATTATGGTGTGGCCCTCCTCCCGGGGGGTGATTTCTCACTTTCTATGTCTCTCTCTCTCTCTCTCTCCAGCATGCACATGCACCCTATGGCAGAAACCTAAAATCATCATCATCATAATAATAAACAGGGAACCAGCAGTTAGCGTAATGGCTATGTCGCTGGATTCCCATGTAGTCGACCGCGGTTCGCGTCCTGGACCCGGTGGCTTAGAACTCAGGCCGGGCACGTGTGCATGCGTGCCCAAGATCCCGAGAGGAGAATGGAGGAGAAGGGATTATGGCGTGAGCATCCCCCCCAGGGGGTGATTTCTCGATTTCTGTCTCTCTGTCTCTCTCTGTCCAGCAAGCGCACGCGCCCTATAGTGAAAAAAAAAAAAAAAAACCTCTAAAAAAAATAATAATAAACACTGCTAAGCATGATTATGCTATCTGCCTTGTTAAGTTTGGCATGTATTAATTTATTTTTTTAATTTATGGAACTGGCCCAGCCCTGTAGCCTAGTGGTTAAGGGAGCCAGGTCCCACACAGCTGAAGGTAGTTCAAATCCCAGCCTCATGTCCAGGTACATTGCTTATGTGCTCAAAATCTGGACAGGATGGAGAAAAAGAGACTGTGGCATGACAGCCATGGAGGGGGTGGGGGCAGGGGTGACTCTTGCTCTCTGTTGAGCACATGTGCCCTCAATTTAAAAATAAAAAAATAAAAATAAATAGAATTTGTGGAGCTCATGCCCCATGACTGAGCATTTCTTTACAAGTTTGTTGTGAAGAACTAATGAGTCTACAAGGTAAATTAATTCACAATGAAGTTGATCAACTAGTGAAATGCTTATAATTGGAAAAAATTTAAAACAGCAGAAATGTCCACCAATAGAGACAGACAAAATAAATAACTGATGGTACAGTCCCAAACTGAAGATATATGTAGCTTTTACAAATGGTGTAAATCAACACTTGTGATTTTTTTTTTTTTTTTTTTTTAAGGCTTTTGCCATAGGGCACCTGAGCTCACCAGAGAGGAGAGACAGAGGGAAAGTGAGAAACCATTTTCTCTAAAACTTCTGTGATGGTTTTGGGTCGTTGGAAAAGTCATGGTGTAGGTGTCTGGTTTTGTATGCAAAAATGAGTCACAACCTTCCCAACGACACAATAGAAATGTTCCGTGAATCTGGGCTATCCAGTGCTGTACACACTAGCCATGTGTGGCTGTTAGACATTGGAAATGTGGCTAATATAATTGAGGAAATGAATTTTTTAATGTATTCTAATTATTTTAAACTTAAATAGCCATGTGTTGCCAGTAGCTACTACATTGGACAACACAAGAACATGTATTTACTAAAATGGTAAGATATTTATGATGTAGTTACTGGAAGAAGCAAGTTACAGAACAGATACACTGTCAAAGTCATTTTTATTTTTAAGATGTGTGTGTATGTTGGGACTGGCATAATGGTTATGTCACTGGACTCCCATGTAGCTGACGATAATTTGAGTCCCAGACCTGGCAACTTAAACTCAAAGCGGGCGCGTATGCGTGCGTGCCCAAAGTCCCTAGAGGAGAATGGAGGAGAAGGGACTGTGGCATGGCCACAGTGATTTCTGTGATTTCTCACTTTCTGTCTCTGGCAAGCACACATACTCTATAGCAAAAATATCTCTTAAAAAATACATATATAATAAAAAATAATAAAATATATGTGTATAAATAGAACAGAAATGCAAAAAGGATATATAACAAAATGTTAACAGTGTTTATGTCTGGTGGTCGTTTTTGTTGTTTGTGGAGTTTGTGTGTGTTATCTGCAATGAAAACATACTGATTACATAATAAAAAATAACCCTCAGAGATCACCAAGTAAATAGAAGATTCCTATTGGCTTGAGTGTTCAGAGACTTGGCTTTTTTTCCAGAGATCAAGTCACTGTTCGTGCATCCCTTCCTGGCCGAGCGCATCATCTCCATGCTGAACTACTTCCTGCAGCACCTGGTTGGCCCCAAGATGGGTGCCTTAAAAGTCAAGGACTTCAGTGAATTTGACTTCAAACCCCAGCAACTCGTATCAGATATCTGCACTATCTACTTAAATCTCGGGTACCTAAAATGGGAATGGGTCAAGCCAGCCGGCATGCTGTTTTGGTTTGGGGTATTGATAGTGGAACACCTGGTTGGTAATTGTGTGGAAATAGAAGTGTCCCGTTTCTCTAGTTGGCTAATGGAGAATCCTCTGTAGGTTTTTTTTTTTTTTTGAGAGATTTTCACTGTAGGGCGCGTGCGCTCACCAGACAGACAGAGAGAGACATAGAGACAGAAAGCAAGAAATCACCTCCCAGGGGGGATGGTCACGCCGCAATCCCTTCTCCTCCATTCTCCTCTCGGGATCTTGGGCACACACGCACACGCGCCCGGCGTGAGTTTTAAGCCACCGGATCCAGGACACAAGCCGCGGTCGACTACGTGGGAGTCCAGCGACATAGCCATTACTCTAACTGCTGGTTCCCAGAGAATCCTCTGTAGTTTTAAATCAAGAGATTTCCTTTACCCATGGAACATGATTTCATTCAACATTCTGCCTTGATCTATGCAAAGATAAATATTCCTGGCTGTACCATTGTTTGGAAAAGTAGTATTCTTTTAAGGCCACGGGATACTTGATAGACTTTCTTCCTAGAGAACTAGAAGCATTTCTAAAGGAAAACATGCATGTTTGTAAGTGATGAGAATCCTCATTTCATAGCCCATCTGTCATCTCCCCCGTCGATCTTTCCTGTGATGCTGTTTCTTTCTGTGCTGACCTTCCAGGGATGAGGAGAATTTCTGTGCCACTGTACCCAAGGATGGACGGTCCTATTCCCCAACTCTCTTTGCTCAGACAGTCCGAGTCCTGAAGAAAATAAATAAGCCTGGTAATATGATTGTGGCATTCAGCAGCTTGGCAGAGAGAATCAAGGTGAGGAAGAGGAGAATTTATTTACTGACACGTTCAATAAAAATCACATTGTCGGGGCCAGCAGGTGGTGTGGTGATTAAGGGCACTGGACTCCCACATGGAGACTGTGGTTCAAGTCCTGGACCTGGTGGCTTACTTTCTCACTCCATCTCACTCTCATTCTGTCTCTCTGATCAAATTAAAATAAATAAATAAATAAAGTTAAATTTAAAAAATAATTCTTTTTTTTTTTTTAGAGAGGTTTTCACTATAGTTGCACATGCGCTCACCAGAAAGACAGAGAGACAGAGAGATAGAAAGCAAGAAATCACCCCCCAGGGAGAATGGCCATGCTGCAATCCCTTCTCCTCCATTCTCCTCTTGGGATCTTGGGCACGCACACACACGTGCCCAGCATGAGTTTAAGCCACCGGGTCCGGGACTCGAACTGCAGTCGACTACATGGGAGTCCAGCGACATAGCCATTACACCAACTGCTGGTCTCAAAAATAATTCTTTAAAATAAATTTAAAAAAATAATAATAACATTGTCAATTTTCCCTATTCCGGGGAGAAAATGACCATTGCCTTGAGGAAATATAAACATGATTCTTCCTGATCAGTCAGTAGCCAGATTGACTATATTCATCACCTTTCTTTTTTATTTCCAATTTTTCTTGGAAGAGAGTGCACACACTTGCCAGAAAGAAATTTCAGGAGAGAGAGAAGGCACCCCAGAATGGGGCATGGTCATGCCCAGACCCCTCTCTTCCACTTCCCATCCTGTTGGGATTTAGGGCATGCACACACATGCCTGGCATGCTTTTCATGCCTCTGGGTCCAGGGCTCAAACTGTATAGCCAGCCACATGAGGTCTGATTCCATCAACCACTGAGCCATAGGGCTCACCCACTACGAAAAGTTTTTTGCACAGTGTTAGCAATAGATTGAAAATCTAAGATGCAGGCCAGCGGGTGGCATGGTGGTTAAAAGCACTGGGTTCCCACATGGTCAACTACAGTTCAGGTCCTAGACCTGGTGACTTGCTTTCTCCCTTTCTTTCTCTCTGGTCAAATTTAAAAATAGTAATAAATGGAATTAAATAAATAAATATTTTTTAAAAGAAAAAATCTAAGATGTTCATGCAGAAGAACTTTATAAAGTAAAATTTGAGATGAGTAGCTTGGGGGTTTTTTCTGGTATGTTTTTGTGCTATCGGGTATGTGGGCTCACCAGAGACAAGGCTCTCTGGAGACAAGAGACAGTGAGAAATCACCCCTTTGGTGGGGATGGATAGATCCCAGTCGCTCCTCCTCATGGGATTTTGGACACCTACACACATACACTGGTGTGCTTTTAAAACCTCTGGATCCAGATTAGATCTATGCAGTTGACCATGTGGGATCCAGCCCCCTTAACCTCCATACCACCTGTTAGCCTGAAGTGAATACTTTTCAAACTGCCTTACATTGATTTTTCTCTATTCTCTACATTGATAGTTGGTGATTGGCATATATTAAAATATCCATACACTTTAAAATACTGTATTCAGGGGGCCAGCAAGTGGCATGGTAGTTAAGGGCACTGGACTCACACATGACTGACTGTGGTTCAAATCCCAGACCTGGTGACTTGCTTTCTCACTTTCTCTCTCTCTCTCTCTCTCTCTCTCTCTCTCATTTGCCTGTCTCTCTCTGATCAAGTTTAAATAAATAAAGTTAAATAAAATAATTCTTTTTAAAAATGTATCATATTCAGCTAATCCCTTTGGTTGGAGTGTGACAGAGCTGCATTAGCAGTTATGAAGAAAATTCATGGCTAATAGTCTAGTGGGAAACATTTATTATTAATAGCATTCTTTCTCTCCTTGAGTTTATTCTTTATTGGACTGGGCTTCATCTTTGCCTGGAGCTTAACCATATGGAGCCCTGAAGAACTAGAGTCGTGCTGGATCGTGCAGATGGCGTAATGGTTAAGTCACTGGACTTTTTTTTTTTTTTAAGAGAGTTTTTTTTTCTGGGGCTGGCAGGTGACGTGGTGAAGGGTGCTGGGCTCCCACATGACCGACCACGATTCAGTCCCAGACCTGGTTGCTTGCTTTCTCACTTTCTCTTTCTCTCTTTCTCTCTCCTCTCTCACTCCCCCTCTCTCCCCCTCTCTGGTTAAGTTTAAATAAATAAATAAGGTTAAATAAAATAATTCTTTAAAAAAAGAGAGAGAGGTTTTTGCTATAGGGCGTGTGCGCTCGCCAGCAAGACAGAGATAGAAAGCAAGAAATCACCTGCCAAGGGGAATGACCACACCACAATCCTTTCTCCATTCTCCTCTCAGGATCTTGGGCATGTACACACACATGCCCAGCATGAGTTTAAGCCATCGGGTCCAGGACTCAAACCGCAGTCAACTACATGTGTGTTCAGCAACATAACCATTACAGCATCTACTGGTCCCTCATCACTGGAATTTCACATAGTCAACCACAGTTCAAGTCACAGGCCCGGTGGCTTAAAACTCATGCCAGGTATGTGTACATGCATGCCCAAAATCCCAAGAGAAGAATGGAAGAGAAGGTACTGTGGCATGGCCAATCCCCCTGGCAGGTGATTTCTCACTCTCTCTCTGTCTCTCCAACAAGTGTACATACCCCATAGCAAAAATCTCTCTAAAAAAAAAAAAAAAAGAAAAGGAACTGGAGTTGTGAAGTAATCAATGTAAAAGCCACCTTTAAATTCTCACATCTGTTTTTATGAAAAACCAGAAACTGCTTTTTATATATGGGTAGAATGAGTGACTCTGTCATTATGTAAAATTAACTCTTCCCACCTCTATCCCCCTTTGAATTGTGGCATTTACAACAGAACCATTGGCAGAAGGATGTTGTATGTGGTGTTTCTTTCCCTGCTAGCTGTAAATCCATTTCCAGTCATGACTGCCAGCAGCTTGAAGTTAGAGTTGGAGCGCAAGGCTCAATGTGCTCCTAGACTATCAGTCTTATCTTGGTCTTGAGAAAATAAAGCCAGGGTTTGTCATCATCATGGCCCAGGGCTGCTGATGACCAAGACTAAGGTCTGGTCATTGAGCATTCCAAACTCAGCTGCACTGGGAATTCACTCTCACCGCACGGTGGTGCGTGCTCAGTCTCTTGCAGATCTGCAGCAGCAGGAGGAGGAGACCTACGCAGACGCCTGTGATGAGTTCCTGGATCCCATCATGAGCACACTGATGTCTGACCCCGTGGTGCTGCCCTCCTCCAGAGTCACCGTGGATAGGTCTACCATTGCCAGACACTTGCTCAGGTACTCCAGTCCCCGGCACAGCCTCCCAAACACACGTGCATGCCCTCGTCTTTTCCTCTAGGACACCTAGTACAGTACTTTGCACCCAGTAGGGACCTCGCGGTGTTGATTGACTCGTGGTAAGGGGGCATTTCGATGCACTCAATTGTGAAGAATTTAAACATTCTAAACAAGATACCCTGTTGAAAGATGTTGGCTCTAACCTTTTTATAATTTTTTTAAAATTTTAAATCATTTTTGTTATAGGGCTTTCCAAAGAGACAGAGAGGGAAAGTGAGAAATCAGCCCCTAGGGAGGATAACCAAACCACAGTCCCTCCCCTCCCATCCTCCTATCAGGATTGTGGGTACGCATGCACATGTGCCTGGTATGTTTTCCAAGCCGCCGGGTCTGGGATCGCATAATCAGTTACCTCAACCTCCATGCCACCTGACTGGCGCACTGGCTCTAAGTTTACCATTTCTTTCTTTAAGAAAATAGTTTCTGGGATCAGCAGATGGCGTAGTGGATACCTTGCTAAACTCTGATATTACTGGTCACAGTTTGAATCCCTAACCCAGAGACTTGAAACTCACACCAGACACGTGTATGTGCACACCCAAAATCCCAGGAGGAGAATAGAGGAGAAGGGATTGCTGTGTGGCTATCCCCCCTGGGATGGTGATTTCTTGCCTTCTCTCTTTCTGTCTCTCTGGCAACCTCACGCACCTATAGTAGAAATCTCTCCCAACCCCCCCCCCCAAAAAAATAGATCATGAACCTTCTTACCTGTGAGGAAACTATAATCTGCATTTAACTAACATAGCAATCAGCTAACCAAATCAAATGTCAGTTTACAAGGCTTTATTTTTTAATATCTTATACTTTTTCAACAGGGCTGACAAGTGGCATGATGGTTAAGGGCACTGGATTCCCACATGGTTGACCGCAATTCGAGTCCCAGACCAGGCGACTTGCTTTCTCACTTTGTCTCTCTCTCTCTCTGTCCTTCTCTGGCCAAATTAAATTCTTAAAAAAGAATCTGTTGGGACCAGCAGTTAGCGTAATGGCTATGTTGCTGGACTCCTATTTAGTCAACCGCAGTTCGAGTTCCAGAACCGGTAACTTAAACTTATGCCAGGCACATGTGCATGCATGCCCAAGATCCCAAGAGGAAAATGGAGGAGAAGGGATTGCAGCATGGCTATCCCCCCTGGGGGGTGATTTCTCCCTTTCTGTCTCTCTGTCTGTCTCTGTCTTCTGGCACGCACATGCACCCTATAGCAAAAACCTCTCCAAAAAAATGATTCTGTCACCAAACCACAGATTCACTGTATTGACATGACATGACTTCACTAATATAAGTGTACAGGGTCTCTCTGCCTTAGAGAAATCTGAAGGTTGGTCAGAAAAGGATAGCTTTTTAATTTTTTTTAAGAATTGTTTATTTATTTGATTCCATTTGTTATTATGATTTTTAATTTGACCAGACAGAGAGACAAAGGGAAAGTGAGGAAGCAAGCTACCAGGTCTGGAATTTGAACCACAGTCGGCCATGTGGGAATCCAGCACCTTTAACCACCATGTCACCTGCCAGCCCCAACTTTTTTCTAATGTAAAAATTCCTCCCCACCCCCCCCCCCAAAAAAATAGATCATGAACCTTCTTACCTGTGAGGAAACTATAATCTGCATTTAACTAACATAGCAATCAGCTAACCAAATCAAATGTCAGTTTACAAGGCTTTATTTTTTAATATCTTATACTTTTTCAACAGGGCTGACAAGTGGCATGATGGTTAAGGGCACTGGATTCCCACATGGTTGACCGCAATTCGAGTCCCAGACCAGGCGACTTGCTTTCTCACTTTGTCTCTCTCTCTCTCTGTCCTTCTCTGGCCAAATTAAATTCTTAAAAAAGAATCTGTTGGGACCAGCAGTTAGCGTAATGGCTATGTTGCTGGACTCCTATTTAGTCAACCGCAGTTCGAGTTCCAGAACCGGTAACTTAAACTTATGCCAGGCACATGTGCATGCATGCCCAAGATCCCAAGAGGAAAATGGAGGAGAAGGGATTGCAGCATGGCTATCCCCCCTGGGGGGTGATTTCTCCCTTTCTGTCTCTCTGTCTGTCTCTGTCTTCTGGCACGCACATGCACCCTATAGCAAAAACCTCTCCAAAAAAATGATTCTGTCACCAAACCACAGATTCACTGTATTGACATGACATGACTTCACTAATATAAGTGTACAGGGTCTCTCTGCCTTAGAGAAATCTGAAGGTTGGTCAGAAAAGGATAGCTTTTTAATTTTTTTTAAGAATTGTTTATTTATTTGATTCCATTTGTTATTATGATTTTTAATTTGACCAGACAGAGAGACAAAGGGAAAGTGAGGAAGCAAGCTACCAGGTCTGGAATTTGAACCACAGTCGGCCATGTGGGAATCCAGCACCTTTAACCACCATGTCACCTGCCAGCCCCAACGATAGCATTCTTTAAACCACTGGAATAAAAAATCTGAACATTAGTGTTGAGCTTAAGTTTGTTACGAGGCAGAGAGACAAAGGAGCTCATCTTCACTCTTGAATCATTCTTTTGTTCATGTCATTCTTTCTCACCCGAGTCAGCATCTGACCCAGGTTCCAGTGAAGTCTAGCTCCAGTCTCAGTCAAAGTGAGATGCCTAGGTGCTCTGTTCTTTACTTCGGATGTTAGAATCCAGGGAAATAACTCCATTTTCCTTTCTCTCTGTCTCAGCGACCAAACAGATCCCTTTAACCGAAGTCCCCTCACCATGGACCAGATCCGGCCAAACACAGAACTGAAAGAAAAAATCCAACGGTGGCTCGCGGAGAGGAAACAGCAACAAAAGGAGCAACTCGAATAAACAAACTGTGAACGGAGCAGACCAGAACCAGCCCCGGCATGCAGATAGCAGTTGGCGGTGGTTCGTTCTTTCTGGTTCTGCTCCTTTCCTTTTTCTTTCTTTCTTTTTTTTTTTTTTTTTCTTTACTAAATTAGAGAACTGCTCTTACTGAAATGATGATAATTAAGATTCCTAAGAATTCAACCGTGCTCCCTCGGCTTGCTGCAAATCATACTTACGGCATCACCAAGTTTCGGAGTCCTCCCTAATTTCACCCTTTGTTCTCTCTTCCCATTTTTCCCTCTTCCTTTTCCTACCTTAAATTATATTATCTTCTTAAAACTTTCTGCCACTTTACAATTTCTCTTCCAAGGACTGCTCAAACAGTTTTGGTAAGCGCTGCTTTTAAGTATAGGATGCCACATATTTCAGTAAGAGCCAACGTCGGAAACACCCCGTGTTCTCCTGTGTTTACTAGTTTTCATGATCTGGACTTACGTCCTTTGCCTTGTTACAGCTCTTTAACATCACAGAACTTTTCATATAAAAGCAGATAGCTTGATGTTTAGACTTTCAAAGAAGATGATGGATGATTTTTTGTAAAGGAACCTTATGCAACTTTTGTTGGTAGCTCTGTTTTATGTGCTCTCGTAACTGAAAGATACCTTCATAGACACTCTCCCCTGGAGTGGTCACCAGCGAGTACTTAGCCCTATAGTCTTTTTATTGGAATCGTTAAGGCAAATTTGCAGTTTTGATAATGTTAGCGAAAAAAAAAATTCTAGACTGAGATAAATAGGAGGCTGTTGGGCCCTTACTCTCTTAGGAAAATGTTACTATATGGACTGGGCCTGAGTGGAAGAGCAAGACAACAAAAACTGTCACCACGAAAAATGTCATTTTAAGACGCTAGTGTCAACTGTGTATCTCAGTGTATGCACATGCGTACACACGCACACGTGTGCTTTTTTCTATCTGTCTAATATAAACTGAGTGCTACTTTACGTTGCCTCTTCCATGGTAAGATATACGCAGTGTGTGGCCAAGTCGGCGTACTCATTCTAGACAAAATTCGGAGACTATGATGTATATAGTTAATATTTATTCGGGCTTGTGACCTGACTTCTAAGAGCTGCTTCTAACACAGCCTGAGGTCATCAATTAACAAATAGGAATTGGAGCACAACCTCGTCCACGAGCCATTTAAATACCCACTGAGCCCTGTAGTTGGAGGGTGGATGGACCCCTTTTAGAAGTTCAGTTTGAGTTCCCTACTCAGTTGTGCGGCTCACGCTGAGTGAGGAACACTCCCCTGTGACTCGTCTTATATCACGCCCCGTCTAAGCCTACAGGTGTAAGTGATTAAGAACAGTGATTCGATCCAGGACCTTGAAAGGACATGATCGTTAACCACTGCATCTTCCAAATAAGACGGCAGTTTCAAGATCTGCCAACACAAGTTGCTGTGAGCCGTCCTTCATACGTTTTCAGAGGTGTCAGCTGGAAAACCTCAAATCAGAGAGGACCTCCCACCTGAAACAAAGTAGATGCCACCTGTCACTGTGCTTATAAATGGAAAGGAAGTCCATCCAGGACACTTTGCAAGTGCTGCAATGTCAGATGAATTGGATGTGCTCTCTGGGCCTTTAAGGATGGGTTGACAGGATTTGTTTATTTTTATTAAAATGAATTTCATATTTATTATCCTTCTTTTCCTCTCTGAGAATGAACTGTATACACAATAAAGTCTGACCTACTTGCATTTATCTTCCAAACCCAATCTAGTAGGACATTTTTATTTCAAAAAGGAGGAGAAAGACTAGTTTTGCAGGAGAAAATTGGAGGAAAATGGGCACAAAACCCCAGAGGCAGCTGCTCCCAGCAGCTTTCTATTAACAACCTCTGTGCCACCTCCAGTGTCCGTGTCTGTATTCGACTCCAGTGTTTATCCTTCAGATTGTAAGCCTCTTCTGGCAAGCTTTTTTTTTTTTCTTTTTAAGCCTTTTCCTGGAACTTTTTATGAACAGCTGTGGCACCATTGATGCTGCTGAGTATCGTTAAACTCATTACCAAGGCAGGTGTGTAGCTTCAGGCCACCATTGGTAAGGAAACCAATGTCCTCCGTGCCTTTTTTCTTTCTGTGAAGTAATTTAAGGACATCAATAAATGAAACTTTATAAACATTCATCTTGGTACAGCTCACTGGAACCTCTCGGAGCCGGCTTTCTGACATGCCTTGTGTTATGTTGGCTTCACGGGAGTGATAGGAAAACGGAGACTCAGATCACCTCTGGTATGGCTTATAACTTACCAAGAGGCTATTACTCAACTTGGAAAATTATTTAAGTAGTTCTTATTGAGCAGTTTTGGGTTTTGTTTTTTGGGGGTTTATTTGGGTTTTTTTCTTTTCTTTTTTTTTTTTTTTTTGAGTTTTTAACAGATGTGTGAAGACTGGGTTTTTAATGGTGCAAGGGGATAGGTGAAGGTGCCAGTTGCGATTTGGTATCACCCTCTACAAAAGCTTCATTACTTTATTTGATGCTGGTTGCCAAGCAGCCATTGCACAGAGCGAAGTCTACTGGGTGCCTTTAAAAGCCAGAGGCTGATGTTAGGCTGCTGTTGTCACCTGAGGAAACAATGCACATGCTCTATCCGCTGAACCGGAAAAGAACCTGGAAACAAAGATGAAGAACAAAACCACAAAAAAGGTTGATTGAAATAAACTTGATCAACGTAACTATATTCTGAAACATTCCAGGAAGGTTACTTCTTGTCAAACTTGCCTGGCGGTGTTTGTTCAAATCCCGTATTTAATAAATGAACACCTGACTTAAAGCCTTCGTTAGTACTTTATTACGGTATTTTAAAAACATAGTGGCAGTTTCAGAAATCTCTCTGAAAACTCAGGACTCTTATTTTTAAATAATTATTTTGTTTAGCTTTTTTTTTTTTTTTTTGGAGAGGTTTTTGCGATAAGGCGCGTGTGCTGGCCAGACAAACAGAGACAGAAAGCGAGAAATCACCCCCCAGGGGGGATGGCCGCGCCGCAATCCCTTCTCCATTCTCCTCTCAGGATCTTGGGTACGCACGCACACGTGCCTGGCATGAGTTTTAAGCCACCAGGTCCCGGATGCGAACCACGGCCGACTACGTGGGAGTCCAGTGACATAGCCATTACACTAACTGCTGGTCCCAGCCCCAGAGGACTCTTGACATCCACTTTTTTTTAGGTAGGTAGTATCAGATGTGTTTGACCTGGCTGAACTAATGTGCCTACCAAGCCTCTCTGGAGGGAACCCTGGAGTTATCCTCATAGACAAGAAATCTTGGGGAATGTTTTTACCTAATCTCATTTTGGCTTCATTTTTCTTCTTCTGTGATCTAAATCCCAGGTCTTTTCATCAGTTGTTGTCATATTTCCTCCCCTTTCTTGCCCCTTATCTCTACCCCTGCCATATAAACTCTCGGCCTAGATTAACCCTCATTCCAGTTTCCAAGCTATCGATTGTTGGATATAAAGTCCTTAAGAGTGATACAGCACAAACCTGCGGTCTCTAACATTGCCTGCTAACCCTTCTGTGTGTCCTTAACTTCAGCAGCTACCCCAAACATGAACCTAACTCAAAGTAACCCCTCCTTTTATTTACCCTGAGCACTCAGCTCTTGCCACCTTCTACTACACGCCATAGTTTTCCACTTTCAGACTTTCCTCCCAGCATTCCAGCATTCCCCAGTTAATTCCTTTCTTGTTTCCTGCCCCATCGGAGCTCTTATCAATCCTGTCTTCAGTTTCTCCCCACATTCCACATCCCCAGTTGGTTTTGACTTACATTCCTTTACAGTCATTTCTTCATCCATTCACCCTGTGTTCTATCCTAATGTGTGTGCTACAGGGCACGTGTGCTCACTAGAGTGAGAAAGCAGCCCCCACAAAGACGGTCACATCACAATCCCTTGTCCATTCTTCCCTAGGAAATTTGGCCTGCACACTCACCTGGCTCTTTTTATTTTTTGGCCTTAGGGCATGTGCACTTGGTGGGTAGTGGGGGTGGGGGTGACAATGAGAGGGAAAGTGAGAAATCACCCCCAAGGGGAGATGGCCACTCCACAATCCCTTCTCCATTTTCCACCCAGGATCTCCGGTATGGTGAGGCAACCCGTTTCAAGACTTGAACTGCATTCCACCATGTGAGAGTCCAGCGACATAACTGCTACATTATCTGCTAGTCCTTGCCTGGCATGTTTTTCAAACCACTAGGTCCAGGACTTGAATTGAGCATTAGGCTGTGTGAGAGCCAGACACCTTGGCCACCACACCACCTGGCTGGCTCGATCCTAATTTTTTTCAAACCGCTCTAGTTAATATCAAAGACTTCCATATTGCTTAATTAACTTTCCCACCCTTAATTTGACCTGTCTGCAGTACCTAGCCCAGCTAGCTGAATCACTCCATTGACACACCTGGCTGGCTCCTTGATAGCCCCTGTAATTGTCTACCCAACCATCCCATCCTAACCATCCCATCGCTAGTTTTACTTCTGCCCAGGCTTCCCCAAGATTCCTTGCTTACCGTTCTGCTTTTATCAAATGCCAGTGTCCTATACACAGCCTGCCTTCCAGGTATACTGAACTGTGAAGTTTCGGCCCTCTAGTATTTAGCTGTTCTCCTACTTTCACTCCAGGACCCTTCCTGCATGAGCACCATGCCTAATCCGATACTGACGCCCCCTGTGTGTTCTGGCAACCTCTTCAGATATTCACTCTGCCACTCTAGCCACGTGGCCACTTCTCAATCCCAGTCTCAATTTAGACAGTATCTAACACACAGGCTTTTTTAAAGTTCCAAATACATGGCAGGCCGGAAGCTCTCAATCAATCTTGTTCCTCGCATCTAGCTCCTAGTGCCTGGCTGGGGGCATTGGATTCCAACACCAACACGGGATGCGGGAGTGACAGGGATTACAAAAGATCAGATAAAGCGAGGCAGCGGGTTGAGGGCGGTGACAGGTCGTGTGGCGCTCGCTCAGCCCCTAACGTTACAGGCTTGGCCTTAGGCCTCTCCCCCGCTTCTTGGAAACGGTCGTGCGGGACTAGGAGAACCTCGGCGACTCCTCCCATCCAGTCCCGACTTCCCACGTTTTCCCAGGAAGGCAGAGGAAGCACGCTCCGGGACGAACGGGAGGCGGGCACCAGGGAAAGCACGTGGGCGCGGGGCGCATGCGCAATCCCCGTCCGCGCCCGCCTTCCGGGCCTTCGAGAGTGGCTGCCCCGAGAAATGCCTGTTTCTCGGCGGAAGCCCATTAATCTTCGGATCCTTTCTCATCTCATCTGTTCATACTCACTTTCTCCTCCGTGGGTGAACAAAGTAAGCCGACCGGCCAGATACCGCGAAGGTCGCAGGATGCCTTCATGTCTTGGACCGGCGCAGAAAGAAGCGGCCTGACCTTGGAAGTGGGACGGGGTCCTGCCGCAGGTCCTTCCGGGGGTGACATTCAGCCGGCCGTTCGGGGCGACGGACTTCTCGCAGGACCATGGCCCAGTTTGTCCGTAACCTCGCGGAGAAGGCCCCGGCGCTGGTGAACGGTGAGCGCGCAATCAGGCTGCCGAGGCGGGGACGCGGGCGGCGAGGCGGGGGCCAGAGGGGCCTGCGGGGTCCGGGGCGGCCGGAGGTGCGTTCGCGACTGGGGCCCTCGGCTCGCCGGGCTCCGCACCCCCTAGGCGCCGCGGACTCCTCTCCGGGACAGGGAAGAGAGGGCGTTTGCAGGAAGCCGGGAGCTGAGCCGCCGGCATTACTCCCCCTTAGGTCTCTTAGGGACAGGACCATGCAAGGGACCCCCGGCCCTGGTTCCTCCGAGCTGGAACGTGTTGTAGTGCTGTGGCCTCAGGTTCTCAGTAGAGGACTTGCAAGTCAACAGAAATGCCTAAGGATGCGTGAGCTTTTCAAAGTTAACTTTGCCCCTTGGCCCTGGCCACATTCTCAAATGCTTATGCTTTAATCCTGGGGACATTTTAGGTGGACTTGATTTTATGAGTGAGTACGCCTGCCTCGGTGAGCCTGGAAAGGGATTCGTGTAAAAACAGCGTTCTTTGTTATTACGGTTTAGCAGCCGTGGGGTTTTTTTTTTCCCCACTTTGAAGGGTGTCATTGGTAGATGGCTGTACAGGACTTAGAAAGTTCATGGAAAACGGGATTGAAGAATGAGTTTCTTTTGGTGCTCAAAGATTTGAGGTTGACGCCGGTTTTGTTTTTTTTTTGTTTTGTTTTGGGTTTTTGAGAGAGATTTTCTCTATAGGGCGCGTGCGCTCGCCAGACAGACAAAGAGACAGAAAGCGAGAAATCATCTCCCAGAGGGGATGGTCACGGCGCAATCCGTTCTCCATTCTCCTCTCAGGATCTTGGGCATGCACGCACCTGCACCCGGCGTGAGTTTTAAGCCACTGGTCCGGAACAGGAACAGTGGTCAAGCGACTGGTCCGCACCGGGAACAGTGCTCAACTACATGGGAGTCCAGCGACATAGCCATTACACTCACTGCTGGTTCCCTACGCCGGTTTTTTTTAATAATGTGTAATTTTTTGAATTGAATTCTTTGAAGGCTCCTGTATTTCAGAACAACTCTGAATAGTCAAAGCCCTGACTAGTTCATTCTGCCAGTAAATACTAATATTTCAGTTCTCTTCTGAGTAGCAGTCCACTCATTTTATTCCTAAGCTAAATTGATTCAAGTTTCTTCGTTAAATGTGTTGTATTCTAGTAAGTGATCGGAGCTCAGGTCTGAAACTTTTGCTCAGACCTGATTATGAAATGTAAGTAGAAACCAGAATTTCAGAAAATACGTGTAATATTTGGAAGCCTCTTTTACTGTTCGGTATTTTCTTTCTATTTTTTTTCTTCTTTTTTCCGGTATTTTCTTTTTTTTTTTTTTTTTTGGAGAGATTTTCACTGTAGGGCACGTGCGCTCACCAGACAGACAGAGAGATAGAGACAGAAAGCAAGAAATCACCCCCCAGGGGGGACGGTCACGCCGCAATCCCTTCTCCTCCATTCTCCTCTCGGGCTCTTGGGCATGCACGCACACGCGCCCGGCGTGAGTTTTAAGCCACCGGGTCCGGACACGAACCGCGGTCGACTACGTGGGAGTCCAGCAACATAGCCATTACGCTAACTGCTGGTTCCCGGTATTTTCTTTTTTTGAGAGCGATTTTTTGCCTTAAGGTGCATATGCTCACCAGAGAGACAGACAGAAAGTGAGAAATCACCCCCCAGGGAGGATGGCCACACCTCATTTACTTCTTGGTTCTCTTCTTAGGATCTTGGGCAATTACAGGCACCGAGTGTGAGTTTCAAGCCCCCCGGGTCTGGGACTCAAACTGGGTCAACCATGTGGGAGTCTAGCACCTTTATTGCAGTACCACCTGCCAGCCCCAGTGTTTGGTATTTTCTTGGTCTCTCCTCCCCTCCATCACCAGCTAAATAATGAGTTATTGAAGGCCTTTCAGTTCAAGACACTGTACATGCTTGATTCTGTCATCCTGCAGAACCCTACAGTCTACTAGTGAAACATTTGACACATTTTTCCAAAAATTTAAGTTTGCAACTGGCCCAGCCAAGGTGGCGCAGATGAAAGCTTAGTGAACTGGAATGCAAAAGCCACTTGCTGACTGCTGGTTCAGGTCCCAAGTCCGTGGGATCCCACAGTCAGGTCTGATATTTGTGGCCAAGATCCTTGTGACCAGGATCCTGAGGGGCTGGAAGGCCTGGTTGGGGGAATTGCTGGAGAAGGAGACCCCATTGAAGAGTCCCCTCCCTCCCCTCTGCCACGTGCACATGGACTCTCTCCTGAATAAAGTAAGTAAACTTAAAAAAAAAAAACTAAAATCGTGTTTAAGGAAAAAAGTTTGCAATTTTCACTAAAATCATCCAAGTGTCTTTTGTTCCAATATTATGTAAATTTTTAAAAATTAAGGGAAAGATTGTAGGCTTCAGTCAAGGACTTTGTGCATAATTTGAGGTGCTATTTGGATTTTTCCCTAGCATGGCTTTTAACATTTTTTTAGGTGGTTCATGTTGTGGAATTGCAAGTTGATTTTAATGATAACATTAAAGTTGGGACCAGCAGTTGGCATAATGGCTATGTTGCTGGACTCCCAAGTAGTCGACTGCGGTTTGATTCCTGGACCCGGTGGCTTAAACTCAGCCAGGCACGTGTGCATGCGTGCCCAAGATCCCAAGAGGAGAAGGGGTTGCGATGTGGCCATCCCCTCTGGGGGGTGATTTCTCACTTTCTCTCTCTGTCTCTCTCTGACTTTCTGGCAAGAGCACGCACCCTATAGCAAAAACCTCTATCCCCCACCCAAACAAAAGATAACATTAAAGTAATACTAAAATAACTTTTTAAAAAATTTGCCAGGGGATCAGCTGATGGCATAATCGTTTTGTCGCTGGACTCCCACATAGTCAACTGTGGTTCGAATCCCAGACTCAGCATCTTAAAATACCCTATAACAAAAATCATCCTTTAGAAAGAAAAATTTGCTAGAGCACTTTATCACTCAACAGAGAGAAGGGAAGGGAAAGCACCCGCCATAGGGAATTATCACACTGCAGTCCCCTCTCCTTCACTTCACCCTCCTTTGGGGATTTTGGGCAGGCACCACACCACTGTTTTGGGACTCAGGCTATGAGGTCAGCCATGTGAGATTCAGCTCATTTAACCACCAAGCCACTGACTAGCCCATGAAATAATTTTCTAAATAAAATGTGTAAACTCTTTCCTATATGGTGAATAATATAACTTGTTCTTCCAGAAATACTCAGAAGGGCCCAAGTGGGATAGAATGTTAAAAATGGAAATATATTTTGCCTTCTAATATAGCTCAGTGTATTACATGTGAATGCTAATTTATTTCATTAAAAATTATTGTTTACATGTGTTCATTTCTATGAGAGACTAAAAAACTTCTGGAAATAAGTAATTTTTAGAAATTTGCTATATAGCACATGCACTTGCCAGAGAGACAAAAAGGAAGAGAGAAAATGAGAAAGCACTTCCGGGGGGGCTGAACACACCGAAATCCCCTCTCCTCCGTTTTCAGGATTTTGCACATGCATTCACAGCCAGCTTGCTTTGAGACTTGAACCACACAATTGGACACATGGGATCCAGCTGCTTTAACCACCACACACCAGCTGGGCCAAAATAAGTAATTTTATCATCAGACTAGCTCAGAAAGAGTAATTTCCTTTCCCCCTTAACTAAACTCAGACTTTGTTTGGATTTCAGTTCATCCCTTTCAGTTCCTGGATCCAATCCAGGGTATCACATTGCATTTCGTTCTGTCTCTTCTGATCTGTGACAGTTTTCCAGTCTTTTCTTATCTTTCACAACCTTGACAGTCTTCAAGTATCTACCTAGGTGCGTCTGTGTTTGTATCCTGAAAAATATTCCTCAATTTGTATTTGTCTGGTGTTTCTCAGTTTGGAACTATGGATTTTGGGAAAGACTGCCACAGAGATGAGGTACCCTAATCACGTAATCAGGTATATGTTTGTATGACATCAATCATCATGCACACTTTCATCACTGGGGTGAAGGCAGTGTTTGGCAGGTTCCTCCACTGCGGTTGTTTTTCCCTTTCCATAGACTTTATCCCTTAGAGGCAAGTAACTGACTCAGGATGGGGCAGGTTGGGAAGGTTCAGGGGGTAGTCCATCTATAGGAGGGAACATCTACGAACTACACTTGGATTCACGACATTCTTTTGGGAGAAAGTTTTGTCTCTATGCATTCATTGTTTGTGTGGACTCAGATACATTATTTCATACTTCTTTATCGGGTTCTAGCCTTTGCCATTTGGCGCTCATGGGTCGGCACCCCGTCCCTTTGGCATGCCTCCTTACCTTCTATTACTACAAGATGCATCAGTCTCTTCCCTGCCCCAGTCTTAGTGTCAGTCATTTCTCCAAGGAACTCTAGTTTCTTTTATTGGACAAAGGAATTTAGAAACATGGTCTAGGTGTTGAGTTTCTTCCTTGCTACTAAAACTGCTTCTGATCCTCTCAGTGGGCAGTTGTATGCAAATCTGTATTTATATAGAGAAATGAGTATACGCATACTAACCCATGTATATATGTGCGTGCATCTATAAATGTGTGTGTGTGTATGTATATATAAATTTACACATATGTAACTGTTTATCCATCTTTATATTACTAGGCTAAATATGAGTTCATATGGATATCTCCAGCTCTAACTCAGTACCATGGAGTGTGTTTATTTAAGCTGCTGCTTTTCTTGTTTATATGTAACTTCTCTCTCCTTTAGTGAGAAACCTGGCTGCCACCTTTCATTTTCTTAGGTTCTGTTCCTTCCTTATATACATATAAAGCAATTTCAAACATTTTAAGATTTTAAGTTTGTACTCCCTGACAAATTTACCAACCAAAAAGTATGTATGTATAAGTTTTCAGGTTTGTCGTTTTGTGGTTTTGGATTTGTGTGTTTGTGTGTGTGCCAGAGGCCATCTGCTCACCATAGCGAGACAGAGAAACAGAAAAGGAAGGCAAGAACGTATCCCCCAGGGACATGGTCCTTCTCCATTTCTTCCTCCTTTCAGGATTTTGGGTATGCGCACACGTACCCCAGATGTTTTTCAATCTGCTAGGTCTAGGACTCAAACGACAAAGTTGGCTGTGTAGATCCAGCCGCCTTAACCACCAGACCCCAGGCCCCAATTCACTTTTTTAAGAAGATAAAAATGATTCTAAAGATGCTGTGTGTTGAAAGTTATTTTAAGGATGATTGGCTGTTCCACAAGAGTTCGCACCTTTTTTCCCCCTTAATTTGCTCGAAAGTCTGTGCACTCACCAGAGAGAGAAGAAGCAAGTTTCCTCCGATGGGCATAGGTGCACAGACTTTCCAGTCTTTTCTTATCTTTCACAACCTTGACAGTCTTCAGGTATCTGCCTAGGTGCGTCTGTGTTTGTATCCTGAAAAAAATTCCTAAATTTGTATTTGGTGTTTCTCAGTTTGGAACTATGGATTTTGGGAAAGATTGCCGCAGAGATGAGGTACCTTCTCCTTTTCTCCATCCTGTTGGGGTTTGGGCATGCACACATATGCACCTGGTGCTTTTTCAAGCCTCTAGGGCCGGGACTTTAACCTCCCAGTCACCCACATGAGATCTTTTTCTTTTCTTTTTGTTTTAAGAAAGAGATTTTTTGGGGGGAGGGGGTTTGCTATAGGGTACGTGCACTCGCCAGAGAAACCCTCCCCAGCCTTCCCAACTAGCCAGGATCACAGGTACATGCAGGTCACCCCGTGTATGTGGAGTGTTGCACTGAATCCCTACAACTGAACCTGTTTTGTTTTGTTTTGTTTTTTGAGACACAGAAAAGGGGAAAATGGGGGTGACCACACTGCAGTCCCTTCGAGATTTGGGGCACACACATACCCATGCCTGGTATGACTTTTAAACCACCAGGTCTGGGACTTGAACTGCATAGTCAGCCATATGGGATCCAAAGCCTTAACATCCACACCAGGGCCTGAGCCAATTTTTGAAGGTGTCATTCTCTGTTGCTCCATTCCTCCCTCCACCTCTTCCATCTAAAATCTTTGCTATCTCTACCAAGAAAATAGGAATAATTCCTGCTGTTTTCTCATTTTTGAATCCAATTTCTAATGCCTTTACAGTTAACAAAATTTGCCACTCACAAATGAAGTCACAGTCCTAGCTGGCCACTAGCGGGGTCCTGGCATAACTGAGTGTGCTTGTAGCTTCCTGCCTGATTGAATGTTCCTGTGACACAGGTGCTCTGCGTCTTTAAAAGCCTCTTGTTACCAGGGAGCAGCTTTGACGTTTCACACCGGGTGCACATTTGATACCAGCAGTGAATGAATGTGATGCATGAATAAATATTTGCATCCAGCCCATACATCTGCTTCCTTCGGTCTCTAGCGAGTTCATCCTGGGTTTTTTGTTTTGTTTTGTTTTGTTTTCCAGCTGCTGTGACTTACTCGAAGCCTCGATTGGCCACATTTTGGCACTATGCCAAGGTGGAGCTGGTTCCTCCAACCCCTGCGGAGATCCCTGCAGCTATTCAGAGCCTGAAAAAAATAGTCAGTAGTGCTCAAACCGGTAGCTTCAAACAGCTCACGGTTAAGGTAACTATGAACTAAATGAAAACGGATGTGCACAACAGAATATGTCTTTCCTGAGGTTTTTCTGATTGCTTTGATTAATCTGTATTTTTTAGTTGGACTGAATCTAGCATAATGAGAGATCATCTCTTGACTGCAGAGGAAGATACTTACTTTTCTAATTTTGTCATCTGTGTAGAAATAATTGAGCTATTTACGTGTTCTTTTTCTGAGTAGTAGTACACCATAGCAAAAACAACTCTTTTTTTTTTTTTTTTTTTTTTTGGGAGAGGTTTTTGCTATTGGGGGGGGGCACTGTGCACTTGTCAGAGAGACAGAGAGATAGAAAGAGAGAAATCACCCCGCAAGGGGGATGGACACACCACAATCCCTTCTCTTCTGTTCTCCTTTTGGGATCTTGGGCATGCACGCACATGTGCCCAGCATGAGTTTAAGCCACCGGGCCCACGACCCCAACCGCAGTAGACTATGTGGGAGTTCAGCGCTAACTGTTGGTCACAAACAACTTATATTTTTAATGGAAAACACTTTTTTCCCCCTCTCCTATTTTGGCTAGTCTGCTAAATATGATGGGTTACTTTTCCCTTTTTTTTTTTTTTTTTTTTAAGATTTTTGCTGTAGGGCACGTACATTTGCCAGAGAGACAGAAAGCTTGAAATCACCTGGGGGGAAGGAGGAGGATGGCCATGCCACAATCCCTTCTCAATTCTGTTCTTGGGGTTTTGGACATACATGCACATGTGCCCGGCATGAGTTTTAAGCCTCCCAGTCCCGAACTTGAACTGCAGTTGACTACATGGAGTCCAGCAATGTGAACATTACATCATCTGCTGCTCCCTGCTTATTCTTATGACTTTTTGTCTGTACTCCTGGAGTTAGCCCCAATTTGGCCGAACGATCTCTTAAAGCTAACATTTATATGGAGGGTAGAAAACCTGAATTACTAAATGGCATGAAGACAAAACCTAGTCCTTACACGAACTGGAACTTGGATGTCAGGTTAACTTGCTGGAGGGTATACGCACTGAGTACAGAGCATCAGTAACTAAATAATTACTGACTTTAGAACCTACATCCTAGAGATACATGTATTTTTCAGGAGACTTCCAATAACATCTGGTCTAATTTGAAGGGGAAAATTTACTTGTAAAAGTGCTTGAAAGGAAAAGGCCCGCTTCTGTTATGGAAATGTTTGGGTGTTTTTTTTCCCCACTCGAGTTTCAGCATACATCTTTGTGCTTGCACGAAGCAGTGCTTTCTGGAACCATATGTGTATTTTTTCTCTTTGGAGGGCGTTTAAATGTTGTTCTGTGAAACTGAGCACTGAGTACTTGGAAGGAGTTAAGTCAAATCATAAATGAATAAAAATGGTGTCTGAGGAGATGACAGAGCCCTCCGTCTTTGCACAGGTCCTCTCTGACCAGACAGAAATGCCTGCTCGAGACTTGGCCTCCCTATGGCCATCCTTTCGTATGAATGCCTCGTCTAACTGTGTCAGCTCTTCCAGGATGTGGGTTGTTTTAGGGCTCATAAAGCGTCTCATAAACTAATAATGAAAGGGTTAAGTCAGTGCAGGTCTTTAAAGAATGCTTTGAAAGAATTTATAAGCTCTAGACTACTTACCTTACAAAATTGAAAGTTCAAGGGTTCTCAGCAGTCGAAAAAAGTTAACATTAGTAATTCTTGACTTTAAAGTTGTCCTCTAGTGTGAATAGTGTCCTTATGTTCTTTGTCATTTAATCCTGGGAAAGAATAGCTGTAAATAAAAGGTACCTTAAAACTTTGTGCTTCTCTTTTCAGGAAGCTCTGCTGAATGGTTTGGTGGCCACCGAGGTGTGGATGTGGTTTTACGTTGGCGAGATCATAGGCAAGCGTGGCATCGTTGGCTATGATGTTTGAAGACCAGTCTTTTAACAGCTGAATACATACTTGATTTATATTATTTGAATGTGCTCGGACCATGTGTGATCGGAATGCTATCTAAATAAAATAAGACATGCCAAAAAAAAAAAACAGTGTTTTCTCTTTCAAACACTACCTGGGATGTCTCAGGTTCCCTCGATGTTAAGTTGGGTTGGCTCTGGTAGGTGGTATAGTTATAAACGTGTGTCTGTTTAGCCTGAAATTGGAAAGAACATGTGTGAATATGTCAGCCTGGTACAGGACTAATTTGAAGGTTTGAAATATATGCTGTTTAAGCTTTATTTCTTTTTTTAATTATTTACTTATTCATTCATTTATACTTAATTTGACAGAGAGAGAAAGAAAGAGGGGAAGTGAGAAAGCAAGCTACCAGGTCTGGGACTCGAACCGTGGTCAGCCATGTGGGAGTATCCAGCACCTTAACCACCGTACAGCTGGTCCCTGTTTAAGCTTTGTTTGCAGAGAAGATGGGGGAAAGGCCTGAAGAAAATTAGAAATTGCTATGTAGTATGAGAAATAGTAACGCCATGTGCCACACTTACGTCAGTAATAAGGAAATAAGGAGGACCATTTCTCTTGGCTAAAAATCACAGAAAGATCCTTTGACAACAACTATCTGCAAATGTTAGAGTATTTATTGCCCCCAAGTGAGAATAACAGAGTGGTATTCCAAGTATGTGTTAACTTTTAAGTGTTAGGAATCTCTCTCTGGTTTTATGATTTTTAGAACCTATCTTTGCAAAAATAAAATATCTTACAGGTATTTAAATAGGGCTTAACCTAGTGCCATCCATGGGTCTAACTAAGTAGTATATTAATGTCCTGCAGTAATCGAAATGATTGAAATGATTGGGTTCCTGTCTCCTTAGGTTTTTTGGTTTGGTTTGGTTTGGTTGGTTTTGTTTTGTTTTGTTTTTGAGAGAGAGATTTTTGCAATAAGATGTGTGAGCTCACCAGAGAGAAAATGAGAAATCAAATC